TGGATAAAAATAAATCGATAAAAAAAAATAATTCTCACAAACTGCAAATCCTTGGAACTACGGCATGAGGTGATAGCCAAATTGTCCCAAGTTAGAGCGAAATGTAAAAACGTAAGATTTATCAGCTTCTTCTTCTTTTTTCCTCTTTTCTTCTCCTTGTTGTTGTTGTTTCTCTTCCTTCTAGCCTCAGTCATACTATTCTTTTCTTCTTTCCTTCATTCCTTCCTTCCTTCCTTCCTTCCTTCATCTTCTTTTCTTAACCACTCCTCCTCTTCCTCCTTCTTCCCTCAACCTCTCACCTCTCATAATCTCATCCCCCCTCTTCCTCCTCCCTCTTTTCTTCCTCCTTCCTCCCTCTCTTACTCCTTCCTTTCCCCCCCCCTTCTAACCCCCCTTCCTTCCCCCTTCGGCATTAGGGAGGCGGGTGTCAATATGGTGATAAGTTAATAAAGCGAGCGATCAAGTGATGTGGAACTAGCACACCCTGCACTGCCTCTCCCTCTCCCCCTCTTCTCTCACCCCCCTCTCTCTCTCTCACACACACACACACAAACACGAGCTGATCACTGGATTCTCAAACAATTTTTTTTCCTCCTCTACTTGGTAAAGGAAAGAGTATCAAGTGTATAGCCTCGGTGCTAAGTCAACGCCATTAGGTACGCTAACTTTGTGTCGCCGTTTCCTATAAGAGAGAATAAGTCATGAATCTAAAAACAAATAAATAAAAAATAAATAAAATGTTTGGAGTAAATAATATCAAGGAATACCTGGAGATTAGGGCCCCTAATTTATTTTACCTTAAGATTTATCGCCCTAATGTTTACCTAAACTAACCTAACCAAAGCTAAACTAACCTAATCTAACTTAACCTAACCAAACCAAGGCGCAAGAAAAGAGAGAACTTGTAGATCTGAGAGTCCCACAGTCACAGGAAACGGTGTTAACCCCTTTATGTACGGGCTAACACTCTCTCTGCTGAATATAATCGTCTGGCGTTAACCAAATAAAATATTAAACGTGGCGTACACATAGTGAAAGGTAAACAATTATTCATGGGAGGCTTACTTACCCCAAAAATTTTGTCAGGAGTATTTGTAGGTGTTTGTGTCACTGTATTGGATGTCAGTATTAATAGTTGGTTTGTCAACACTCCTCAAATATCAGTCTTCAAGTGACTAAAGGATAAACTTGTATGAATATAAAATATATGTTAACGTTGCTTATTCTTCTTCCACTTGTGATTTACGTATACTTACTTTATATTTTTCTTCCTTGTATTATTATTATTATTATTATTATTATTATTATTATTATTATTATTATTATTATTATTATTATTATTATTATTATTATTATTATTATTATTATTATTAATTATTATTATTATTATTATTATTATTTTTATCATCGTCATCATCATCATCATCATCATCAGCATCATCAGCATCATCATCATCATTATTATTATTATTATTGCTTTGATGTAACTGGTGGAGGTTGTTACAGTTGGCGTACTATGGTATATCTCCCTCACTTCCTCTGCTACTTTTTGTTCCTCTCTATCTAAAGGTTGGGTGGGTATCTAAAGGTTGGGTGGGTATCTAAAGGTTGGGTGGGTATCTAAAGGTTGGGTGGGTATCTAAAGGTTGTGGAGGGGAGTTGCCCAACACGTAAAAGGAGGTGGTATACCCAGCCAGATGCACCGAGATTGTTTTCTTTGAGAGGTGAAGTGCTGCATGTTTGCTGACTAAATTTAATCAATGATTTACACTTTCCCACATCGTGTCATTGACAAGTGAATTCTCAACAGTGAAAATCCCCAGACAGCATTAGAATAACTGTTAAAGATGAGAATAATTTTAGAAACTAGCTTATTTTAATCGGTAATATGATATTTAGGGTATAACTACAATTTTAATGTTCTTACTTTATATTTAAAACGAGAACTTTCTCCCAGCTTGGATGTGATACGTCACATGAAATAGGTGGAAGTGTGTGCGTGTCGAGGTCACCGATGAAAGTAATTCGGTGATAGTGACTTGACCCCCTCGGAGGTATTTGCCGTCAGACCTACCCTGGAGACTGCCAATGTTTACACTCTCACATACGTCAACAAAGCACACCATACCAGTCATGGCTGGCTGCCCACCACAAGTACGGGAGCTGAATACTATATTTTTTTCTATCTTAATAATTTACTAAAAAAATCCACGGTCTTTGTCTATTCTTGTTTTTCTTCTGAAACATTACATTTCCTCGCGAAAGTATAATGATAACACTGACCTATCACTGCTAGCTGCGCCCGGCGGATCTGACAACACCTTGTAATTGTTTTCAGAATTGTTAAAGAATATTATCTTTGTCATTGTTTTTGTTTAAACTTTAGCGATGACTGAGAAATGAGAAGTCTGTATTTGTTGGAGTATTATAAACTACGTATTTTCACTTCTGTTAAACTTTCGTAGTTAAACGATGATATTATTTTTTTATATCATTCATAATCTCTGATGATAATTTTTTTTATTTCTTTATATACCTATATATTTACTTATTCACCTATAGTCCTATACTAAGTAATAATCATTTATTTTCTCTGTGATACATTAAACATAACGAAAAATGTTCTGGAGTGTAAGAATCAGGAAGTAGAGATTCTCACAAGGAAGATAAAAACAGTGTACATATCAAGTGGCTAAGTGCAAGTTCGGTCTATTTTATACAGAATTTACGTAGTTGACTATAAACATGGGGTTGCATATATTTTCTGGCAGAGCTCGCAAATATTGTTTACACGTATAGGCCTGAGGGTGCGAGATACAAACCAGGCATAGTGAATTAATAATAAGTTTCCTTATACTGTACTGCACTTGCTTATCGCGCTTCTGCTTACAAGGATGGCTGTTCAACATTTTTTTTTTCCAGGGTGACGACAATGGACAAAACTGCATTGAAAAGTCACTGTGATCTGTTGGTTCAGCATTACCCCATTGGTATTGAGACCAACTTGGGTGATGAAATGGTTCTCTTTGCATCCTATGCTGCTGCTCATGATTTACGCCTGGTTTTCAAAACAGAAACTGATCAAAGATGAAGCACGAGCAAAATTGAAGCAAAGGAGACATAATATGCCCTCACTGATGTACTGTAAACGTACTGTACTGTATATAGAAACGGGCATTTTTCGCTAACTGAGTTTTGATAAGTAATTTGCGATTTCGCAAGATGAAATTCTTAGCTTAAAAACTAGTTTACAAACGGAGAATGTCGATAATTTTGGTCACGCTTTATTTGCCTTTAACTTTAGAGCCAAATTGGTTTTATTCAGTTTTAACAAATGGAAAAACGGTGGTAATTTTATATTTTGGTTTTATTATGTACCAAATTCCATATGTGGATATTGTGATGACCATATCTGTGTATTGTGTTCATAAAAATGCAATAAAATGTTATTCAAAAGGGCCCCTAAATAGAATTAGCCTTAGGTCCCAAGTACATTTTAATCCGCCCCTGACACTGATTACGCTTTCACAAGTTGTTCCCGACGTCGGGGTAATGTAACGGAATTCAACTGTATTCAGTGGTTCCTAGCGCAGGCAGCATGCATGACCTTGACTGAAGAGTAATGATTGCTCCAGTTACTCATCGAGCGGGAACACCGCTGACACAACGCACGGTACAGTATCACACTACCCTGGGAAAAAAAAACAAGAGTGGCCAAGGGTGAGTCACGGGCTGGTCACACATGTGCTGCTGGTAATACTTCTGTAATTATTGTGTTGCTGTTAATTTACTTTTGCGTCATGAACGTCACAGTTATTGTTGTCCATGCTGGATTATTTTTGTCTTGTTCCATCTGCTATTATTGATTTTATCGTTGATGTTTATGTTGTTTTTCCAGTTGCTGCGGTTTTAGGGGTTTCTATTGTGAGTTCATGACTCACGTTGACAATTGTGCCGAGCATACGCCCGGGAGTTCCCACGTAAGTGTACTGTACTACGGTACAGTGTTCTTACACAGCAATGTATATACACTGGGGGCGTGAGTTATAAAAGTATGGGTAAGCTTTTATCCAAATAATTATTCTCATTGTAAGCTTTACTCGGACACAAATATTGTGTTTACAATTGTACCTTAAAAAGGTCGTTTTACTTTCCGTAGATCCATTTAAAGCTAGATCCACTCCCCAGTCCCCCTCTCCGTACACACTATTAAGGAAGGGGGGTTCCCTGGTAATCTAAGGTGTAAACTCTGTTATCTCAGCCGTGGTATATTCACAGGACACATCATAGCGGCTGATAACTAGGTGGTCCTGTTGATACTGCCTACACCATTTATAATGTATGTTATCTGCTGCCACCGCTCTAGTGATCAGTTTTAGGACAAAATGTTATTTGGAATAATGTATCTGCAAAAGTTGACGGAGATTTCGTATTATCTCGTAGATTAATGAACACTACTAACCCATTTCCCTGGGTTGTTTTTTATTGTTCATTATTTATCACAAATGGAAAGATTATACTGTATTACAGATGATTCTATAAATATGTGGTTTTATAATTTTATTTAAAAACATTCATATATTTTATATATATTTGGGTAATAGTTCGAATTTTGAAATTTATAGTGAATTATATGTATGGTTTCTCAGTACAGTACAAGTAGAAAATAAATACTATTTTTAACATTACTACAGAAGAAGTCATAACATTTTGAAACATTGCGTTTTACAGAGAAAAATTTCTCCTGGCGTGCGGCGCTCAAACAGTACTACCAGATTGCCGCTGTTCTGTTAGGTATGTGATTCATTTAAGTAATTTGATAGAACTAGAGGGGTACTTACAGATTAGTATGGGAGACTCTACCTTTATAGAAATTATTCAAATATGGTTATTATGATTGAATTCAAAAGAATGTTAAAGTTTCCCACGTGACTCTGTTTTTATTTTGTATTTTTACTCGAGCGTTGGTAACTGTGTGTGACTTTGGGCTGTGTTGTCATCAGTGTCGGTGTGGGCCAGTTGGTGTAGGTGGAGGTGGTCTATACCGCTAGTGCTGCTTGTATATTGGGTTGTGCTTTGTCTATGCGATCTCATACAGAGGAGACATTACGATGGCTAACAGTGAAACACCCGTCAATAGCACTAACGCTGAGTTTGGAGGCGGTGGAGATGCAGAGGCTGTTGTGGGCGTGAGTAAAAAGGTTAGTCACAAATCACTGGGTCCCCAAAGTTCACGTTCTACATCCCACGTTAATTACTTGCTTGTGTGAAACAGGTAACAAGGTATTGTTATTGTGATGAACCGGAGGGTAGTTTTATCCCGTGTTAGGGTCATGAACCGTGGATATGGCCCCTGATGACTTCCAAGCACAGATGAAATGTGTTTAGATCACAAAGAAATTCATTATCTGTTGACCTTAATGATACAGTGATTTGTTATCTATAGTTTTGTCTTAATATTCTAAAGTTCTCTTGATGATTTGTAAGGTTGAATTTTTATGTTATTTAACGTAGAATGGAGATGGGTAAAATAAATAGATGTCTTGTTTACTGTGGCAAGGTACAGGATACTTATTGAAAGGAAGATTGATGGTGACTGCCTATCTAACCTAATATAAATACTCAATTCACTCTTTTGATTTCTGTGGGAAATTTATCATAGACAACCCCATTTTCGTGTTTAAAGTCATAAATAGGTAACAAACAGATTATATAGGTAGTTATAACTTAACCCAGTGATTTCCTGTATCCCTGACCAATGTATGTTTTATTGTGGAAGTGATTCACCAGTCCCAAGTGCAATAAAGTGTTGGTAACATTTATAGCCACAAATATTGGTGTCTGTTTTTGTTGGTTAATTTTTATGTGATTAGTTCTAGCCCCCATGAAAGGACAACTCGGAAATTAAACTTTTAATGACATTCTTTTGGTTATCCATAGTTAGACTTACTTGTTTGCCATTGTACACCTGCACTACCAGTATGTATGGACATGCTGAACCAATGTGAACATGGGTACCCTGCCTATTTAATGTAAGATTGTATGGCTAGATTCCCCATTTTAAGTTAAGATGTGTCAGTTTGATTCATGTCCTCTTTTATAATGTCACAATGCCATAATCTCACACATTGGTGACAGTAAACAACAGTCACATCCTCTTAGTCATATACATACGTAACATGATTCTAAGTAATTAACATATAAGTTCAAATATCGTCCTTGGTGTCTGTCATATCTGTCATCTGAATATGACTAAACAATAAAGTCAGTAATCGTACAAAGTTTCATGTCAAACTGTAAAGAAGGAATGATTGGTCCCTTTCCTTCACATTATCCCTGAAGCAATTGCAGTACCTCTGTCTTATTCTATGTCTTCACAAACCGGTCAGCTCATTAGCAGGTCAGATAGTTGGGCATTTCTCTGTTATGCACTGTTGACAAGTACTGAATATATACAGACTCATGAATATACCTAAATATGTTCCAGTGTTGGTCAAGTCTGGTCTTAGATGAGCTTACAATTGTTTCTGTTACAACATACTTCCCCTATTTTCCTTTTATTAAATCCTGGGTATAGATGGTAACTATAACAGACTGCAAGGACCAATGTTTACTTGTGGATGTGTTATACAGGGATATTCCTAGGATGTTTGAGAAAGTTCCACATGTATGGCTAGCCTCTTAAGATCCAGGAACATGGCATCATAGGCAAAGTGTTGAAGGAGAATGAACACTGACTCAAAGACAGACAACATACTGAGTCCTGAAATAGAATACTGAATAGAAAAGTTCTTGGTGGAGTCCCACAGGGGTCTATTCTTAGACCCTTCCTGTTTATGATCTGTACTGTAGTATTGACATTTAGGAAAGTATAGTGAGTCATATAATCAAGTTCTTGGACAGTACTTAAGATAGTTATACTGGGAAGGTGGCAATACAGAAAGATATCGCAGCCATGCAAAAGTATCTACTGTACATAAGGTTTTGAAAGGGTTGTAGAAATGACAAATGCTTTTTAATTTAGCAAAATGTGTGACACAACAACCCAAAATGAAGCTACTATACTCTGTACTTGGAAACTGTTGATAAAGAAAAATATCTAGGTACTGTACTGTATTGTGATAGACCAATTACTGAAGGCAGTGCAACAAGTGGGGAAAGTGTTGAAAAAAAGCAAAACTTTACTTTAAGAATTGTAAATTATATCTTCAAATACTGTACAGGGGTAAGAAAATACTCCTAGAAATTATAAGTGTCACATATATCTGCATCTAGACTAATGTATGCAGGCATGGAGATAATAGTACCTCCAGAAAGACATAACATCCTTAAAAAAGATAAAGCGACTGGGATTATTCTTGAACTAAATCATCTCGATTGTCCAAGTAGACTGAAGGCCTTAGAAATTTAGAAATGACAACTCATAAGGGAAAACACAATTGCCAGGGGCAGATCCAGGAATATCAAAAAAGGGGGGGTCCAAGAAGTTGTGGGTGAAGGGACAGGCGAGCTCAGCAAGCCCACCCAGCTGGGGGGGGGGGCGCATTGTAAGCCTCCCCCACCCCCAGATTTTTTTTTAAATCTGACCAATATCATGGGCATCTTTAGGCCATTTTGAAGCCATGCGCACTTGATATTAGGGGATATTCTGAAATCAATAGTAAATACTTTTTACTATACAAAAATGGCTGAGTACTGCCTGCATTAAAGAAAGGGTACTGGAATTTTCTGGTGAAAAGGGGGGTCCAGACACACCATGGATCCGCCCTTGATAGCTACAAGTACATACAGTATATAAATCTTTGATATCTTGTGCTTTTATCACAGATTTGGAGCAGAACACTTCATTGCAGATTAACTATGGTGCTGCAGGTCACTCTTATTCTCTTTAGATAGTGTTGAATGGTTTTGGACTTTTAAGTTCTAATCCATGGCTTTCAGCATTAATCATGGTTTATTTTCAATGGAGAATTTTATACTGTACCGTACTGCACCACTTTTCCAAGTTTAGAGGGAGAGCAGGAGCAAACATTGTCACTTATCATTTGTTCTGTTCTTTCTGACAAACATTTTTTTTTTTCATTTGAAGGAACCAGTTTGCCATAATTTATAATACAATACAAAACTGGTACCGTACTTCTTTAACCCCATCACTAGGGGGAAGCCACTTTAATATTTTATTTGGCTAATGCCAGGCAATTTTCTTCATCTCAAAGTTGTTGTTTGTTTACACATGGAAGTAAGTAAATAAAATACTTTGTTGGCAATACAAAGCTGTTCCAACAGATTCAATCTGATAAATATTGCTCATGGCAGGACTGGAGAATGAAGCCAAGGAAGATACAGGTCGACAACCCCTTATCCGAAATTCTGAAAACCGAAAAGCTCTGAAAACAGAGTTTTTTGTGGAGCAATTTTTTTTTTTTTTTTTTTTTTTTTTTGAGACAGGGATTAGCCCACCCAGGCATAGATCACTGACCCACATCGGGGCCTGGGGGGCGAAAATATAATAGTAATACTAATTATAATAATAATAATTATTCATAGTAAATAAAAAATTTAATTAAAAAATACACCAAAATAAAATAATAATGATAACAATAATACTGTATTAATAAAATAATAATAATAATAATAATAATAAAAATAATAATAAAGAAATACAAGAATGAAAAAAAGATATAAAGTGAGTAACACGACCTAGACCTATGAATTATTATTATTACCTGTATTATTATTATTATTATTATTATTATTATTGTAATTATTATTATTATTATTATTATTATTATTATTATTATTATTATTATTATTATTATTATTATTATTATTATTATTATTATTATTATTATAATAATTATTATATTCCCCAGGCCCCAATGTGGGTCAGTGACTTGTGCCCGGATGGGCTAATAAAAAAAAAAAAAAACTAACCATTCTGAAAACCGAAAAATAACGAAATCCGAAATGCCTTTGGTCACAAGGATTTCGGAGAAGGGATTGTCAACCTGTAGTACTGTACATATGAAGAAGGATGAACTTAAGTGACGTGGGATAAAGAGGACAGAGAATGAGGAGTGGTAGTTAACAGGAAATTGTCATTTGAAGATCATATTAACAATCAAGTTAATACTGGGTAAGGTCAAGCAAGTGTCTTATATGGTGATGATCATTCTACTCTAGTACAGCAAAGTACAGTACATTTAAGTAAATTTATATCAAGCCAACCTTGCTACACCGAATTCATATTTACGTTTTCTTTTCTGTTCCAGGAAAGAGCACCTCTATTAACACAACGCAGATTATTTCGGAGCTTAAGTGGACGGGATATTTCCACCAGCAGCTCAGAGAACAATGACTCTGACCGTACACTTGGTACACTTACAGGAGTGTTTGCTCCTGTGTGTCTGTCACAGTTCAGTGCTCTACTCTTTCTCCGTGTTGGTGAGTACTGTACATGTTTTACTTATTTACTATCACTATCATGTATTAAAACTACTTTTCAACAGTTTAATGTCTACTTATATGTTAACCAGAAATTTTTCTAGTGAGCAAAGTACTGTAAAGTATTACATAAGTTTTGAAACATGATTCCCTATGTTTCTCATGCATGTATTTTATTAATATTTGTGTATTCCTAACAGGATTCATTGTAGGAAATTTGGGTCTTCTAGCAGCAACTGGCACCCTGACCCTGGCATATGGGATTCTGCTCTTTACGGTTTTGTCAATTTGTGCCATTTCTACTAATGGTGCTGTTGAAGGCGGTGGAGCATATTGTATCCATTTATACTTTCTCTAGCACTTCTTGTAAATTTTAGAATTGTCCATGTTTCTCTTGTGTAAGTAATATCAAATAATTGTGCATAGATATTTATCCAGGGTATGATCTTCAAATAGTAGGAAAGGAAAACATACTCAAATAAGCTATGAGACAATATACAGTAATTTTATGTTACTATAATTAAAAAGGTGTTTGGAGACCAAATTTTTCAGAGATGATGGAAAAAGGTTACATACATACATACATACATACAGTACTATAGTACATGTACTGTACTGTAAATGCAAACAAATATGTTACTTTACATCCTTTACTCTAATAGGAAATTCCTATGTAGAAAAAGACAAACAGGATTTCTACACACACTTTGATGATATGGTTGAATAACATTGTTGATAAAATTGGTTGTACCCTGTATGCAATTTTTATGACAGCTTACCTGCTTAGGAAATTGGTAATGAGACTTTAGGTTTCCTTAACAAGTTACAGATATGATCAGTAGAACTCTTGGACCAGAGTTTGGTGGGGCAATAGGAGCACTGTTCTTCTTCGCCAACATTTTTAGCAGTGCTTTATACACAACTGGCTGTGTAGAGGGTTTGGTCGACAATTTTGGTGAAAGTGGTAATGTATCTTAAGTTATGTTTGTGTTATTAGCTATATTTCTTCAGTTTTTCATAATTAATAGACTGCTGCCTCCACCACAGCCCCCCCCCCAAAAAAAAATCCAAATCTTGCAAAAAACAGTGCCATTTGAATCCTGCTGTACATGACTAGTATGTACAGTACTGTACTACATTATGTTGTTGTGTCCGGTGACTTCCATTATATGAAATGTATTGATGTTATAGTTTTATAGGAAAAAAAAGAGTGTTTAGAATAGTAACATGGTGTCAATACAGTATTAGTCAGATGAGTAGAACTAAAAAGTATCAGGACTTTTTAGACTGGAATGGTCTCTGTGTCAAGGATTCCAAATGCATTTTATTTTTAAAAGTTTACTGGTTATATATAAAACAGTTTCCACATACTTTTTCAAATATTCACACTTAAGAAGTCAAATGAAATTATTGAAGTTCTATCTGGGTAATTTGTTTTATTTATCATTTCACTACTTATCAGCTGCTTAGTCTTTCAGGCGGTTGGTCTGTTCTTTGTTACTTTGTTGTGGCTATTATTTGTAAGAGGCATGTGCATTACTGTTGTACCATCTTAGTATTTTTTAATACACAAGGGGGAGTCCAGAGGTAAGGAAAACAAAAAACTTATGGTATTTGCCAGTGATTTACATAAACCCTGTTCTCATAGAATTATGCCATGAATAAAAGATTATCCCCTCCCCCCCACATGCACACTTCATTCCTTGTTTTTTAGTTTCTCAGAGCTGCTGCACATGGTAGTTAACTGTACTTTCATTTTACCAATTTGCATTACTTGCTGGGTCTATAAAATTCTTTTGTTCCTTTTGGCTATTATCAGAGGTTAGTTTTCTGCTCATCTTTCCTATTTCAATACAGTAAATGTTTTCTTTATTTTGTTTAATTTTTATTTAACTTCTTCTTCCTCTTGCAACTCCCTTTGTCTTTGAAGGACTCCTTTTCTGTACTACACCAACAAATGTTCCCCGAGTCTTACACCTTGGTCTTAATCTGTCTAAATAATTGCTTGTCAGAAAATGCTTAATAAATTTTCTTTTACCACATGTAAGTTTTTACACTAATTCCTTGTTGATAACATTGGAGAACACATCTATACCAGCAGTAAGAATAAACAATTGACAGTAGCTGTGTCTGCTCTTAATTCTGGTGGGCACATGTTACTGTAGAATGAGTGATGGCAGAGTGGATAAAATTACTATGAGCTGTAAACTGGATTATCAGTGTACAGGCCACTGGACTAGGAAAGTGTCTATGTAGTGATTTCTTACCTTTTATTTTTAAACCTTCAGGTAGAATTGCGCAATTCTTACAAGAGGGAAGATGGTACAGCTTTGCCTATGGATCTGCAATTAACTTCTTCAATTTATTGATTTGCCTCATCGGTGCTGGACTGTTTGCCAAGTTGACCATTGTCATCTTTGCCGTCGTCCTCTTCTGCATCGGCTCAGTCATTCTCAGTTTTCCCATCAATAATTTTGAGATAGAAGTGAGTTGCTTCATTCCTCTACAATATTTTGTGTTTTACTAAAGTTACAAATGTGAGAGGGATAAGCAAGTTGGATCATTTGATCAGCAATGATAAGCTCAATGTGTTTTATTCTGGATTGTTGTAAGTTTCCTTTGTGGTTCCTATCAACAAACCACATCAGTGGATTAAAAAAAATTCCAATAGTGCGAGGGAACCACTGTAAATGATAACCAAAAGATAAAGAGTTGTAAAGGGGTATATGAACATGGAGAATTATTAGTAATGTTTGATTGATGTGTGTCATATTAGAACAAGAGAACAGCACAAAGTAAGGAGGAGAGAGTGATGCAGTAAATGTGAGGGAACATAGTGATAGATAAATCTTAGCTTTTGTGTCAAGATAATGGTATTTTTTATGAGACTCCTTAGCTTTCAGTTTACAAGAGCAGGAAGGTAAATTAATCAGACAACACTTGAGAAATTTTTCTTACCTTGAGGTAATTTTTTTAATGTAAATGAAATCACTGTTTTGATATATAAGTACAGTACTGAAGTACTGTATAGCTTAGGGTTACGATAATTTAATAAATTATGTAAAGTTTGGTGTAGGATATTGTCACATATTCCATAATATTCTAGAAAGACTCAATAATTTGTTTCTTTCTCTTCAGGTACAAATTCCAGCTGCCAACCCTCGAGTAAACAGTACCCATCAGCTGAATGGTACATACACAGGATTTTCACTAAGTACTTTGGAGGACAACTTTTATCTACCAGATACAACATCACGTGACTACACTTCATGTAGTGGAGATGACTACGATACCTGCACCGTGGTCACTTTTGCAATGACTTTTGGGGTGTTATTCAGTGGTGTCACTGGCATTATGGTGGGAGCTAATATGTCAGGTAAATTATTATTATTATTTTTTTACCACTACTTCATACAGGTACTTATGTTCTAAACCCAACCACTCTGTTGAAATTATCATCCCTGGAGATTTCAGTGTACTGTATAAGAAAACTGTATTGTGGTAATGTGTACTGATAATTGTTGTATCAAAGCCAATCATATTACATGTAGCCTTTAACCCTATGGAAAACCAGGGTACCTTAATTTTGTCTCTTATCTAGAATTAAATGAAGGCCCCATCCTGGCCATCCCACAGAACATTAAAAATAAATCTAATACAATACAGTAGTCCCTCACCAACCACAGGTGTTAGGTTCCTGGAAAACCCCGTGGTTGGTAAAGCTTACTGGAAATAAGCGTTGAGTTCCACAGCCGTCGACAACACTCGTCAAAACCTAACTAAGTTGCTTGTTCCTTTGCAAAACAATACCTGTATTGTACAATTCATTAAATTTGAGTCAAATGCATATAAAATAGTGGAATATAAATTAAATCGCAATATAAATGTAACAGTATAAGGAGTATTTAATTCATTGAGGATGATGGCGGATGAGGATGATGTGGATGGAGAAGTGGTTGTTATGAGGAAGAAGGGGACACAGACTCCCACTCTCTTCCTGCACTTCTACAGGTTCATCAATGTCTGGTGAGGTGGGTGACACAGAGACATCTTAGTTGGTGGTGGCAGGAGTGTAGCCGCATTGGAGGGTTGTGGGTTAGTGATCGAGACAGCTGTAGTAGCGGTGGTCTTGCTAAAAACTCTGAGGATGGATGGCTGCTTTTTTTATTATTTATTTTTGAGATCCCTGTACACCTCCTGGAAGGGTCGCATTGCATTCTCCAACACACATTCCCAACTTACTCTTCACAGGAGAATAAGGGTTCTGGTAATTTGTACTACCTCTGTCCATAAGCTAATTGATATATCTTGGTAACTACATTATTTTTTAAATACTGTCATTGATAATTACCCAATTTTTTCTCTTTTTCAGGAGAACTAAAGGCTCCAGGACGAAGCATTCCATGGGGCACACTTATGTCAGCCCTCTTTACATACTTGATATATATACTGATATTTATTTTGACTGCTGCTACGTGTGAACACTTCCTACTGTGCAACAACTACATATACATGATGGGTATCAATATATGGAGGCCATTTGTTATGATTGGTAAGTGAATTCATATTAAATGAGTATACGTACATAGACAGAACCACCACACGTTTTGGCATGCTGTACACATTGATTAGACAAGTGTTGATTGGCTAAAAGAATGTAAACAAAAATGGTTGTAGAAAACCTTTGGTTCTTTTAAAATTGATATAATATTTTTATGGTACTGCTATATACAAATACAGTTGTACCCCACTTAACGCGGTCAATAGAACCCAGAGGGTCCCGCGTTAAGTGAAATCCGCGTTAAGTGAACAACAGAACATATGGGATTAATTCCAATAGAAACCAGCCCGACCCCCAAACTCCACTTTTAGAAGACACATAACTATGTTGTAGTAAAAATAACATCTTAATTTTATGATGGTACATGCACACAATTAATACTTAAGAGAAATAGAGAAATACAGTCGCCAAGTTAATGTCCATTCAAATAATGGACTCAACTCCCTCCCCCTCTTCTCACACTACACTGCTGGCTCTTCCCTCTCTGAGAAATTTTTGGGGGAAAACCACTAAATTTTAATAAATAATACCTCAAACTAAAGTTAGGATAATACAATTGACATTGCTGGATTCCTTGTAAGACCAGGAATATTTTGAATATAAATGTCATATATTTTGCACAAAAGATAACATATTTACTCAGACAAAACATTTTATCTAAAATTTGTATGTCTAATGCAAAATATATGATGTTTATATTCAAAATGATCATCAAATTATAAGAATTCCAGCAATGTAAATTATATTCTGACCGGGTAATTTGTATGAATTTTATGAGCTAAAACAAATATCTTCAGTTAATAAAAAAAAAAATATTCTTCACAGGGTAACAGATGGTCGGTCGGTCCCTCCCTCCCCCCCACCCCCCACCAACCGTCCCAAGGAGATGTGTGGGAAAACCAGAATATTTAACTTTTTAGTAATAAATAATACCTCAAACTAAAGTTAGGATAATATAATTGACATTGCTGGATTCCTTGTAAGACCAGGAATATTTTGAATATAAATGTCATATATTTTGCACAAAAGATAACATATTTACTCAGAGAAAACATTTTATCTAAAATTTGTATGTCTAATGCAAAATATATGATGTTTATATTCAAAATGATCACCAAATTATAAGAATTCCAGCAATGTAAATTATATTCTGGCCGGGTAATTTGTATGAATTTTATGAGCTAAAACAGGCAGTCAGGCAGGGTGGCGGGTGGGGCAAATCTAAAAATAGCGTCTCGAGCCGGACACTCACCGCGTATATGTAGAAAAAATCCGTGTTAAGTGAAAGTTCAGCTCTGGCGAGGGACCGCGTATATGAAAAAACGCGTTAAGTGAAACCGCGTTAGGCGGGGTAATACTGTATATAAAATTAATATATTTTCATGTCTGTTTAAGAAAAATTTGGTAGATGAGGTTTGGTTATAAGAGGTGTACTTCTACTGTACAGGCAAGCTCCTAGTTATGAACATTTCTACCTATGAACAGGATCCCTATTTACTGTATTTATCACAAAAGTATGTACTGTACAGTAACTAAAATTAGATTTTTCTTTACTTTATATTGCTTAATGTCACTTTATTTACAGTACTGTACAGGGTATTTACATTATTTTTTAGGTATGAGATATATTTGTTGCTTTTTATGGGCAGGGTTGTGTTTTAAGCTAACCTAACCTATAGAATTAACACTGTGATGATTAGATACTGTACAGTAATTTATTATATTTTGTACATCAATTCTCCAAAACTAGATTACATGGGGGTATACAGTATTCTTCAGGGGTTAATATAATATTCTGTACTATTTGTCACTTTTGAAATAATAATAGGATTTATATTATTTTATTTCAAATATTTCTTCTCTATTTTTCAGGAGTTGTGACAGCCACATTAAGTGCCAGTTTGAGCAATATCATTGGATCTTCAAGAATTTTAGCAGCACTCGCAAAGGATAACATCTATGGTTAGTATTATCACAAAGTAAGAAACACAGAAATGAGGAATTGTGGAAGTGAAAAGAGTGTTGGACAAAAACCAGATCAGGACTTACTCTGGAGACATTGACAGACATACTAAGAGAATGGGAAGTGAAAGATGGGTAGAAATAGTTTATGATTTAAGAGATGGGTGACAGGGAAGAAAGGGATTAAAAATGCCTAAAAAGTGAATGTGTGACTAGCCAGAGATCATGGTGTTAATTGATATAGTACAACCTCTTGAAATCCGGATATTTTGAGACCCAGATTATGCCACACGTGTGATTTTTCAATTTTTTTTGTACAAAGTCACTCATTATGGACCACCCTCATTAGAAACAAGCACAGTAATCTTCCCATTAGCCTGAATCTTCGATCCCCGGAACTTTCCATAACCTAGATGATAAAATTTTAGCATTCCGAGAATAATCTCTTTGTTTTGGGCATTCAAGTGAATTTCTGAACTAATGCTTCATGTGCTGAGCATGTAGGTTGATAAACTCAGAGTGTTCATGAGCTACACTTGGCTACTTTTGTCATGCATCACGAATCTTGGATTTTTTTTTTTTAATTAAACAAAAATATCTAGCCAATCATGAGAGTATGTGGGTCATTTGTTATTGTTGAGGAGCGGTGCGGTGTTGATAATGGTTCCATGGTTCCGCCAGACCAGCCCACATCACAACAACATAATCACACTACGCTCAGCCATAATCATCATAGGATAAGGTAGAAATATAAAGTAATGTGAAACTGATAGAAGAATCATACAAAGTAGAAGAGGGTTTCATCTGGAATACTGTACAGGTATCCCCCAATTTACGATATTCTTTTTTAACGATGGTGATGTATTAAGACCACCCCCTATTTATGATGTAAACAATCCGCATGAACGATGGTTATTGTCTGGCCAACGTGAAATCTGAAATGCATCTCTCGGTGCGCTTGTCAGCTGGGGTGGAGTGAGAACTTTACTTTCCAGACATTAGTTTAGGTGTATTAATGACCCCTTGCAAGTTGAGCAAGTTAGGGTTTACTGCTCTTAATTGATAGTACAGTAAAGGCAGTTTGTCAGATAATCTTCCACTAATATATCTAGGTTTAAGTAGAATTTAAACTGAGTGTGTCTTATAATTCTTCCACAGGAAAAGGGAAGAGGGGAGTGATCAAGTTGCCTGGGATCTGTTTAAGTAGAGCTCACATAAATTTAAGGTCTACTGTGATCTTAGTATCCTCTTTACTTCATCATTGCCAGTATGGTATTCCCCCTTACTATCCCCCTCCAGGTTTTTTTTTTGTACTTCTTTTTGTCCTGAATAGAAAATTTTACTTTATTTTTAGTTATAGCTCATTATTTTTTTTTCTCACTTTTTTGTGTATTACAGTGTGTTTTTTGAAAGATGGATTGAAGGCCAGAGTGTGTCAAAGTTGAATTGTTGAAGAGAGCATAACAGATACTGTATTGACATTTTATTCATGTGAGGAATGAGAAGCACATAAAATCTGTATTTTACATGAAATGAGTTTATCATGTACTCCAGTATACTGTACAGTATAGTGTTTGCATAACAGGATGTATTCTGGGTTCTTTGTTGACTCATTTGATATAGACGTGAGAAGTTGGTGAACGGATGCTTGTGGATATTATTTATCGTTTCATTTATAATGAGTGATGTAAAAATATGTTAATGTGTAAGTCTCATTTACAGGAAAACTAACTTACTACATTGGGTTATTGTCGTGTGGCACTAACCCGGTGGGTGCAGTTCTGGTGTCAGCCATCCTGGTGGAAGGTGTGCTGCTCATTGGTGGACTCAACAATATTGCAAAATTTACCTCCATCTTCTTCCTTCTCTCCTATTTATCAACCAATCTGGCATGCCTTGGGCTGGAGTGGGCCAGTGCTCCAAACTTTAGGTTAGTGTTATACTGTGTGCATGGTTTTTTAAATTTGGTTTAATGTAATACAGTACTGTATTGTATAGTGTATATCTTATACAGACCTGATAATTTTCTGCCTGTTATTGGATTTTCAACTTTTCAAATGTCAATTTTGTTATGATTAAGATCAATTCAGATTCAATGAACTTTATTTCTCCTTTTATACCAAAGATATTGCCTCCTCATGTTTGTTTTGACCACTTGCTGTTAATTCCAGGTTCACATTTTATAAGTATTGTCATCAATAAGTTGTATCAGTGTATTAAAATATTATTGACACAATTGCAGACTCATATTTATGGTTTGATATTACTTCTGGCTTTGACAGCCTTTGTTTTGAAACTCGGTCATTTCCCTCAAAAGTGGAAAATAAAATACTGTACAAAGGTTAGTATCCCTGAGGCAGGTGTTCTAATTAGAACCAATCTGCTTAGTCAGTACCAGTTGTGCTACTACTATGAGCCACAATCTTTCATTATAAAGCCAGTCCAATATAGTCACACTTATATTGCTCTCATAAGTTCTGCTTGACTATTGCTTAAAGCTAAGGGTCTGCTCCATTATGGCATCTCAGGGATAATTGTTAGGGACTATGCAGCAGCCTTTTGGTGTTACCATAAAATTCCATGTTGATGGAATGCCTGATAAGAGAGGGTCAATCTGTATCACCATATACAGTACATTTTGGTCTCACATTTATGAATCTTTCATCTCCATTGTGCTTGGCCCCTGTTCATTCCTCTAGGTCCCTAGGAGTCTAGCATAATCTAAGACTACGAACTCGGTTACTGATTGAGTGTGGTCTAGCTCTCCCCTTCCTATTTTTAACTGTTCCAGTATAAATGTTCTGCATTAACCAGTTATTCATTACTTGCTCCCATATTCTAATACTTTCATCAATTCAATATTATAAGGACTGTCCTCTCCAGACTTACAGGATCTTCCATTTTCATGCAATATCAAATGTCTGATCTTGTAAGGCTTGTAATACTAAAGAAACTATTATATATCTCCACTGATCTTATTTTTCCTAATTATATTACAGTATTGAAAGTAAATATCTTCAACATGGCAGTATATATATAGTGTATATTTAATTTCAGATATCCTGTTATATTAATTGTGTCCTGTTTATTTTAGGCCAACCTTCCGTTACTTTTCATGGTGGACCGCAATGTTGGGGATAATTGGAAATGGTGCAATGATGTTTGTGATCAGTCCATCTGTAGCTGGCATCTGTGTCATCATGTTGTTGATACTGGTCATCATCCTCCACCTACGATCACCATCGGAGCAACACCAGTGGGGTTCCATATCCCAGGCTCTTATATTCCATCAGGTGTGTTACATAAATCAAAGATAGCAGCCACCTATGAATCTGACACTCATGAATATTTGGTGAATAAAAACTGCTATTCTACATCAGAATAGCAGTTTCCAACACATACAGGGGGTCCCCGGGTTACGAACGGGTTCCGTTCCTGAGCACGTTCTAAAGTCGGATTTGTACGTAAGTTGGAACACATGCTATGTGCATACTGTACTTACAGAACAATGTTTAAAATCCTTCTATATCATAGCCAAAGTCCTTATATACAGTACTCAAGGAAGTAGCATGGCTGGCATTGCACTCAATTGCCTGTACTTCCCCAACTGTAAAGTTAGGTACCCATTTACAGCCAGGTTGCCTGGGAGTGCCCAGGTATCAAACCAATGACCCAGAGGACAGGAGGCGAGTATTATAACCACACACCTAAGTGGAAGTTAATTATGGTGAAAATAGTGATTTAATATTTAGGACCAACACTTTGATGATGAAACATAATAATCTAACAGATGTAGGTAGACAATACCACAGTTTTAATTGCTTTTTCACATGTTTGTTCATTTCAGGTGCGCAAATATTTGCTGCTGTTAGATTCTCGGAAAGACCATGTCAAGTTTTGGCGCCCACAGATGCTTCTTATGGTGAACAACCCACGATCAGCTTGCCCCTTGATTGATTTCACTAATGATCTCAAGAAATCTGGTCTCTATGTCTTAGGTCATGTTAAGGTTTGTTATAGCTGTATTTATTTGGTTGCTAGTTGAATAACCCTAACTTAAGCAAATGTGATGTGCAGAATAATGTACAGTATTTGATGATGCAGGACCATATTCTCAGTAGAAAAGGTGGTTCTTGCTGAAGTTTGAATGTACAGTATATGCATCATGTAATTAAAGAACTGTTTAACACATACCAGTAATTGCACACAGCAAAATATTTGTATAAGATGCAGATGTGATCAATTTGATGAAAATATGTATTCACTATACTGTATATTGCATTGCACTGCAGTGCTTAAGTGATGCAATCTGTGTTGAAAAACCACAAGTGAGTTAACTTCACATGACACATTTAGGATGTCGGTCATGTTGAAAATTAAACAATCTATCTTTAGTTAACATGTAGTGTTCATTCAGATAGTTGTGTAAAGTGTCATTGCTGGACACATTATGAATGTTAAAGAAATGAATGTTTCATTTTAATTCTGGTTTTCAGATCGGTATCTTTGATGGGCGTTCGACAGACCCGGCAGCTGAGGACTACCCAAAGTGGATGGCACTTGTGGATCATTTGAAGGTATGATTTATAAAACATACCTTTTGTAAATACCTCATAATAGGTTATTATAAATGCATCATCATCATTTTGCAGCCTTTTTCCACATTTATCCTTGAGATTTTCTTTCAACCTCTCCCCATGTCCTTATTGGTCTACCCCAACTCTCCTCCTTTCCACAACCAAACTCGTGCTTCTCTTGACTCAGTTGTTTTCCATTCCCTCCACATGCCTTAGCAGTCTCAGCCTACCTCTACACATCCTCCTTCAATTCTCTGGAATCTCTTTCTCCATGCTGTTTTAGAACACTCAGTCTCCTCAAATTGCTTTATTCATCATAATTAAAAACAAAAAAAACTTTCAGCTCAGTTCTTTGTGAATACCGGTAAATGTTCCATTTAAAGCAGAGTAAATGAGTTTATGACGTATCAACATTGTGCACTTCACCCATCACTTGTTGGTTATAACTTGTGATATCAGAACCAACCGTGGCGCAGATTTGATGCTATAACAAGACTATAGCTTTTATTAACATTATTTGCAAATCATGTCACGACACAAACTTTTGACATTTCATCAGCACTCTATATCAATATGGTGTTGGCTGCCTCCTTCCACCAGCACCCTGGTATTTTATTCTCGCAGTTGATCTCTTCCATCCTACCACAGACATTAAGCAGGTGTTGAATTACAATACCTTTGACTCAATGAATTATCAACTGTTCTCAGTCAGTTACCCTCACCCCTGCATCCCTTCAGAGGGTATTATATTACATTAATAATATAAGTTGCCCTCTACAGTACTGATATGGGCATATAGGGATTCCAAAGACTTTTGTCAATGATATATAATTGGTCTATAGAGCTTATTCTTAAATACCTTGACTCTACTGGGAACTCTACAGTGGGAGTCCTAATTTTGTTTGAAATTGTTTCCTTTATGGCAAGGAAATGTGGGGAGAGTTCTCGACACTTGCTTTCTTTAATTAAGGCAAATAATTCATACCTTAAGGTTACAGGACAGTTTCAGTGGAGGTCTTTAAATGTGAATCACAAACCAAAGCCTGGAGCCCTTGAGGTATATATCTGTAAGGTGATAGCCAAAGTACTTCAGTGACAGGGCTTCACATGACCTCACAGGCATAGTATCATCCATGGTCTGAGTCAAAACTAAAGTTAGTGTTTACCTTTCTGAATGTGTTTTTTATATTTTATAATCAACTGTCACAATAGCATCTGGAGCATTGATTTCCATTGAAAAATATGGTACAGAAATTTCTTCTCATACGAGGTATGTCTTAATTGTTAAGTGGGTTCATATGAGGCATGTTTCAGTTTATGGGTTAAAAGAACCACATAATACTATAGCTGCCATGATACTAACCTTAAGCAGTACCATCTTTTTTTTTTTAGTGAATATTAAGGTGCTGAAATGGATAAGTCTTGAAACTGTAATTGGAACAAGTTTTACTTTGTAAGATAAGCCTAAAAATAGTAATAAGACCATACAACTAATGTTAAATATTGCCCTCATCTGTACTGTTTTGTTCAATACAATACTTTCAGTTTCTTGTATTGTATTGAGTAAATAAACATTCATTATAGTTTGATTACAGTGATTTTGGTATTCCCAGATCATAGATAATTTATTTATGAAAGATGGGGAAATTTGTAAATGCTGTTGAAACAAATCCATATGATTAAAATCTGAGTCGTGATTGGTTACATGACAAGGCATGCAGGAATATAACCTCATTATCCTTCAGGTTTCCATTGTAGTAGATTTGATTCCTTAATAAGTTGATTACCAGGAGAATTTTTCCTTTAATTACCACTCACTGGGATGTTTATTACTTTCGTTATCAGGTAAAGGCATTTGTGGAGGTGACTGTTGGGCGCACAGTACGAGAAGGTCTGCACCACCTGGTTCGTGTTTCTGGTCTTGGAGCCATGAAGCCCAATACAATTCTTTTGGGTTTCAGAGATAACGCACCTTCTCAAGATTTCTTTACGAGGTGAGTGAATCTCATTTTCCACATACAGAAAACATTTAGCAGAATTCATCTGATGTACGACTACTCATTTTTTCACCAAAACTCCTTGCTTAAAAGACACTTCAGATAGATTTAAGGAAGAGAGGTCATTCTACATTCACATATTTTAATGATTTATAAGAATTAGGGGCTAAGAGAACTTCTGGACATGATGATTTAGGCTATGAATAAATTAGAAGCTTAGAGCATGATTGTGATACACCAGGGCAGTTTGAAACTACTGTACAGTATAGTCCTTGTGATCATTGCAAGTACCATCACCACCATCATCAAGCAAGAACTGCCAAAGCAACAAAAACAAATCAGAATACTGTACACTGTATGTGTGTGTGTGTGTGTGTGCATGAGACAGCTTGTTAACTCTGAACTGGGTCATTTAGGTGAGGGAATTAGATTTATGACTTATTTCTCCTAATGTCTGAGCTACTCTTCACCCAGCAATGTCCTACAACCACTGTAGGCTCACTCCAGATCATTATCACTGGTAACATTGCATCACACTGAGTTGCTTGTGGGATTTCTCCTGCAGTATGACCCTATAGGCTGTAATATTCCCATTATGAATCCCGCCTAACTTCCTTCCCTCCTCTGGTCTCTTAGAGAAATGCCAACACTAGTCTTTACCTCAACAAAGGCAACTGAGAGCCCTATTGGTGTGAATTAAAAAAAATGGCTGTTCTCATATGAGGGACATTGCTGCTTAAAATTTAAGCAACAATCTTTGCTCTTGAACCATGGGTTTGTGTGTGGAGCCTGTGGGACCTGTATCTCCACTAGAATGGTCACACACACAGTCAGGTTTGATGTTTCACATGTAACCCTTGGGGGACTGTAGCCTTATCTGCCTTTCTTCAGCAGATGGTACTTAAGACTAGTGCATCTTTGCATTGCATGGCTCTTCGGAACTTGTAAGGTTAATTAATTTATTGAACTCACTGGTAGTCACATATTAAGGGTGCAAGGTGGGCTAATTCCTGGAGTTTTGTTGCTTCCATCCTGCTCGCATAATGAGCTGGTTTAACTTACATTGGTAACCCAATCCAAGCACTGTATTTGTAATAAATGGGAGATTAGTCCTGAAACATCATTTTATATCAGCACATGGATAGGTTGACTCAGGTCATTCACTCCTTGTGGAACTGAAGGGGTTGATTGTGTGTTTTGTAACCAATGACAAATCCAGATCAAGGAGATCACATAAAATTAGAGCAATCATGAAGAATCCCCCTTCAGTCTGAGTTATATGTGATGCCTCTCAAGGCCTCCCTTTTTAAAGAGACATGAGGCGAGTGTTGGGAAAGATTCACTGTATTATTATTATTAATTTATGGAATTTAGTCCCAATCACATATGAGTAAGTCAGGAGTCCTGGGAACCCTGGGTTGTTGTCAGCCCATTGTGTAGTTGAAGTACACTGGGTAAAAAACTATCTTTACAATTTTTGTGCGAAACAAAATGACACCACGAATGAAGGTTTTTGATAAGGTACTTAAGGCATACAACATTTAATTAAATTAGGCCTACCATAATAGGTAGGAAATGTCTCACAGTCACACCTACCAACCCTAGCGAGACAACGTGACTTCAGTTCGAAATTTATCGGCCCCCTCCTGAAAGATACTTTTTTTACCACTAGTACATCCATGTTCTATTATAAGTTGGGATTTCAGGATCAGTCCCTCTTTTTTATCCTTTTTTATGTGAATTTTGGCCACATGAATACTATTTTAGGGTATGCTACAGATTTCTCGGTGGTGATATTAAAGGTGTTAATATCAAGCCATGTTTTATGTTTTACTTTGACCTGATGAAAACATCTTTAATTTTCTATAGTTTTTATGAATTTATAATACAGGTTGACAATCCCTTATCCGAAATCCTTGGGGCCAGAGGCATTTTGGATTTCGTAATTTTTCGGTTTTCAGAATGGTTAGCTTTTTTTTTTCTTTTTTTTTTTATGTGTATTAGCCCACCCGGGCACAAGTCACTGACCCACATTGGGGCCTGGGGGGCGAAAATATAATAAAAATTATTATAATAATACAGTGAGTTCTGCTATAACGCGTGTTTTGACAACGCGAATTGGCTCTTAACGCAATGTATGAATAGAGGAACGATATTTGTATAACGCGAACGCTTGTTTGCTGTAACTCGATTTTTTGCTTACTATTTCTCCAATTTTGTGGTATTAACTGTGAATATGGTAAAGAAGAATATCTCCAAGAAGCGTTCTGGTGATCGCATTCCCGGTAATGATCGTAAAAGAAAGGCTATAACACTTGAAGAGAAGCTCGATGTTATCAACCTCAAAATCACCCTTCACCCCCATGAAGTTATATTCATATTTTTTCACGGTGAAGTGTTTCATTTACTGTTTGATTTCATTATTAGATATGAATGTAACATTTATTTAGACTGTGCTAACCTTTGTGTAAGGTTAACTATTTTTTTCGATTTCGAGTAGTAATCTGCACCTAACCCTATTTTCTCCATAAGCCCTGTTATTTCTGTTACGCAAATTTCTATAACACGATGTTTTACAAGAACACAACTATCGCGTTATAGCAGAACTGACTGTAATAATAATTCATAGGTCTAGGTTGTGTTTCTCGCTTTTTATCTTTTTTCATTCTTGTATATTTTTATTATTATTATTATTATTATTTTATTAATACAGTATTATTGTTATTATTATTATTACTATAAATTTTATTATTATTATTATTGTTATCATTATTATTTTATTTACTATGAATAATTAGTACCTGTATTATTATAATTATTATAATTAGTATTACTATTACATTTTCGCCCCCCAGGCCCCCATGTGGGTCAGTGATCTATGCCTGGGTGGGCTAATCCCTGTTAAAAAAAAAAAATGCTCCACAAAAAAACTTTCGGTTTTCAGAGCTTTTCGGTTTTCGGAATTTTGGATAAAGGGTTGTCAACCTGTATAATTTATTGATTGTTCGATGGTGCTCTTCTTCCATAATGATCCATAAATTTTCAATAATATGCATTTGAATACTTGTCCAGGCTGATCCTGCTGTCACCAGAGTCTGACGTGTGAGTTCCTCCAGAATATTTTCAATGGTAGTTAACGTGTGCTGATAGAAGCTAATTACTTCTTGTGTGACTACTCAAATAGCATGTAAACTTCTGTTCTAAACATTTCTTATAGGTTTTCAATAGTAGTAACCAATTCATGCAACTGACTGGATAGCATATTGTTAAAATAAATTTAAGTTTTGGCATAGCTAACCATTAAGGCATGGATTTTCATGAATATGAGTGTTAATTCTGCAAAATTTACTGGAAAAGGACAATACTTTGAATATTAAAAGTTATTGGCTCAGAGAGACATGACTTTATTGAGTTCTAGTAGAGGCTGATGAAGAAATGAATAGGATCTTCAGTGTATGAATGAAACAAATAAACAACAGAACTGAATATGATTTGATTGAGCTCTGTGTGGGAAATGTGGATGCAGTGTGTGGGAGAAAGAACTTCATTCACAGACAATTTAATGTGTACATAGAAGGGGATCATCATTGGGAACAACAGCTCTGGAAACTCAAATAGAGTAATATTGAAAATTCCTGGGAATTGACACACTGTACTTCAAAAAAACTATGGAATGAACCTGGTATACTTGTCAAATTAAAATTTTTATATCTATTTGTATGCAGTCCTTTTTGGTGTACAGCAATGAATACTCTTGCCTTTTCCTGCTGTGATCCAGGATAGCTAGACAGTTGCTGATCCCCCATTGCTTAGCAGTCACCAGTAGTAGGCTACAATAGGTCTACCACTGAGCTGTGGAGCCCCAAAACAGTTCTATAGAAAAATGTGATCATGACCTAACTATTGTGGATAATGTTGTCTATTAATTTCATATTGACAATATGTACCTAAAATAATAAAGTGATAGTGTTTTATACTATGATTTGATGGAATTATGAGAGTTTGGAAGTATGTACAGTAATGAAGTGGTAAATGATTTAATTAAACTTATTTAATTTAGTATTAAGGTGAGGAGTACACCAGGAAAATTGGACTTACATTGCTGAAAAGTTATATGACGGCACCAATATTGTGTTATTTATGAATTGCATCTCCACACAGAAGCTGATACAAAGTTACTGAGTACAATATACCGTATAAATAATATGGGAATTATGGTGAAATTGCATACTGTTGTGATAAAGGGGTCGTGGGTTAGGGAATTTCTGTCGAGTCCAATCAGTCACCTACCGTATTTTATAGCATATAAGATGCACTTTTTTTTGTCTGAAAAATGGCTAAAATGAAAGACTTCCTGTGTCCTATATGTGAAATTGTGGTCTCCCGTAGACTAATGAATCCCCCAGTTGCTGTCACCAGTAGGCTAAATTCTATTTAGCCCAACTCGAGAATTAAAAATATGTTATTGCTTACTTAAACACATAATGATTATTTTTAATTAATTAAAAAAGAATTTTTGTTCATATAAAGGCTCGATTTATAGCTACTGTCCTGAACATGGTAACCCGAGACAATTAACGTCCGTATGGCAGACGCCCAACTCTTCAGAGGTAGCTCTTACAAGCATTACTATCTATTAATATCATACCTGTAGCATTTATTTTTAAATCTACAAATACCTGATACAAACAAAGATTTACAGATAACTTTCTTTCCACATTTACATCTGTTAACATCGCTGGCAGCATTGTAGCTTAGTTAGACTCGTCACTGTAACCACCAGGCTACGGGGCTAAACTGTGAGGTGTTATGGTTGTTTTTCAACTCGTATTTTCGGGTAGTTATATGTAACTTTCTTCGTATATTTTTATTCATTTACATGTACACACCATCTTACATACACATTTAAAAAAAAAAGATATAATTGTCATAAGGGCAAACACATAAAGGGAATATACATTTCTTTGCACACAAGTAAGTTGACTCAGAGGGGGAGGGGGGCGTTGCAAGGCAGTCGGCAGAGGTAGCATCACCGCTGGACTGCATTGCTATGGCGAAACAACGAGTGTATGCAAATGGCAATAGTGTTAAACTTTCATTTGGCTTTAATTTTCTGATTTTAGCTGCATTTATTTTCATCTATATTGTATACAAATGTTTTTTGAAGTAGCACACTTGTTAAATAGCATGAGCAAGGTAGATAGTATGGCTTATGATGCTGGGAAAGGAGGTACAGGGAGTTGAAAATGTACTTAAGCTTTTTGACTTACCATGTAAGCCGTTACTTTATATCCGTAATAATATTCCTTACTTTTTTTTACTTGTTTTTCAGTATTTTATATTAGTTTTTTAATTGTGATAGTAACTCAAGACTTGTCACTATAGCCACATGCCCCTAGCCCTCCCCTACGACTCCAGGCCAAGCTGTGAGCAATGTTATGGTTATTTTTCTACTTTTAATTTTGGGTGGATACACTTTTTTTTCGACTATTTTACATGCTCCCTTAATATTACATACAGAATGTACAAAGAAATAAAGAAAACTAATTATCATAAAGTCAAAAATATAAAATGGAATAAACTTTCTACTTGTGTTAAGAGGAAAGGGGAGTGAGGGATCTTAGCTGTTCTGAGTTGTTTCCCGTGTGTAGTGAAACTACAGTCTGTGCATTGACAAATTTTGTTGTCCAGCAACCAAATGGCAATATACAGTACAGTCGACCCTCGTTAATTCGGACCCCTTTACTCCGGATTTCGGATAATTCGGACGAAATCTGAACTATCCGTATCAAATTTCTGGTTCTGGGATTGTCCCAGTTGCAATTGGGGTTGCAATTTCAAATTCTGTGTCACTTCTAAGGAATAATGAAGTCTCTGGTGCTCTCTAAGATTAAGAGAAAACGGACGACTCAGGCGTCCTGAAGTGAGAGAAAACGGACTCCTATGACAGGGCACTCAAATAAACATACACATAGCTGTTTAATGCAATATTATGCAATATTAACCCCTAAATCAGTTAATTCGGACAATCGGCTAAAACGGACACCCTTCCCCCCCTATTAGTCCGAATTAACGAGGATCGACTGTATTTTGTTGTAGCTTATTTATTGGTATTATTTTTATTTATTCCTCACATGTACTGCTAGTACTGTATGCAGTATACAGTATTATTTTAAGAAAACTATGGCTACTCACTAAGTTTTTTCCTAAATACTCCCTGCTGAAATGAGGGGTGCGTCTTATGTGGCCGTGTGTCTAATATGCCGTAAAATATGGTACCTTTTACTTTACCCACAGAATTCATTCCCATCTTCATTTTTTTATGCTGTAATACAGTTTCTTTATTTCTAAGTCACATTAAAACATTGAAATAACATTTCCACAAATTTTTTAGTTTCTTAGGTAAATTAACACTGCGGAAGTTGGTGCTCTGCTATAAATTATGAAATTTTGACCGCAAAATATAAAAAGAGAGGTAGTAATAGAGGTACCCGAGAATTTGTATTTCGCCAAATTAATGTGACTCCGCTGTATAAAATATAGAAGCTGAACTTGCCAATATGGTAACCATACTGATACAGGGTAATGAATTTTGACCCTGTAGTACATATATCATAAAATACAATAGTACATATTTTGGGGACAAAAAATACCTCCTTTCGCACTCGAACCATCCTCTGGGCGACACATCCCACTTCAGCTTGGCAGTTAACCAGTTGACTCACAGACATGTGGCTGCTGCACTGCACCATGTGTTTGCCATAACGTCACAACAAGAAAGAGCGCAATCACACAGTTATAGCACAGTAACCCATTTCCTCCACGCACACAAACACACCCATGCTCTTCATTTTTCTTATTTTATAGGTTTATATTATATTTTCTTTATTTCAAAGCCACATTAGAGTACCTGTATTTATAGTTTTACTACATGTAACAGTTGGTAACACTGTTATAGCCCACTGCCTCCACACACCCATACTCTTCAATTTTCTTATTTTATAGTACAGTATAATATTACCTGTGTATTTTTTTTATTTCTAAGCCATATCGTTTATATAAAATGGAATAAGTGTTTCAAGAAGTCTGTTTTTCTGAGATGAACTTGCGAGGTCAGCCTGTAGCACTGTGAATTGTAGGATTTATTGGCAGATACTAGGAGTGAGTCTCAACTAACCAGAAAATTGTTTTATCCAGAATAATATGCAAGTGAGAGCTGTTCAGTAACTTATAAATTTGAACAAGAATTTTAATGTGAGCTTTAAATATGATAAGTATGAATTACCTTTTTTCTATGCTTTTATTCCAAGTCACATACCAGAAAGGGTTTTGTTGATTTGTGTACGTATGTGTGTGTGCTTGTGAATTATACATATAAGTGTATTTTATATTTATATGACTTTGTAGTCAGGTTTCTGTTTTTTGCATGCTTATTAGTAGTCTGCATGTGAACTCTTGTATGTGTATGAATAAGTATTTGAAACCGATCTTCTAAACGGAATACGTACTGCTGTATATAGTAAATGTACCTAAAGATTTTATGAAGGTAATAATAAAGATTTTTTTATGTAGATACAATTCTGCAGATATATCTCAAATAATTATATTATTTTGGAAAATTTGTCATCTTATACTAGACTTTTATGATGTGCAGAATTTATTTTATTTATTCATTTATTTTTTGTCTAATAATAAGTCATACTTCCTTTTTTTCTGACACTGGCTTCTTTCATTTTGTGTGATAGATACGAGATTCCAGCAACCTTTTCTTACGGCTCTATAGATGCAGAGGCTGGAGTGACACCAGTACAGGGGTAAAACAATTTATTCCAAACTTTCTGTAAGGTCCCGTTAATGTGTGTAGGTGTACAGTATTATCCCGATGAGGTTAATGTTTCTCTCTCATGATCTCCGAGTTTTTTGTCAAAAATCCTCTAGTTGTTCCGTGCTAAATGATGAGAATGATTTTATTTCTCCTGGGTATTGATTTATCCAGTTTATTGTTCATTTACAGGTAGAGTGTTAGAGAATGATTTTTGTTTTTGATTGATTGGGTTTTGATTACACTGATGCTTGTAAGTGGAATTTGTTCAGCCTATCTGACTTTGTATGGAGTTTATATGTATAGTAGAATGATGGTCTGATTAAACTATTTCCTAATGCCTGATGTACCATACTGTATTTCTTCCACGTAGGAAACGCACCTAGTCGGAAAGTTTTTGCATGGCCGGGTCACTAACTCGGTATCGTACATAGGGTAATGACTAACATTCTACTACCTCTCTCCAATCCAGAACCTAAATTTGAAACCTTGGTTCTCAAGTAGTACTACAGTAGCCAACACTTGTCAACCTGCTTAGTTAAATGTCTACCAATTTAGAGATCCTCCAGGTTTGCTCTTTTTTATTTTAACCACTGTTTGTTAATATTGTAATATTATCTTGTTGATGTGTGTTTTTTGTTTTGTTATTTTATTCCATATTTCAGTGATTGTGCTTTATGTATTTGTTATTATATTGATCATTGTACAGTTTAGTGGATTTTTTTGACTTTTAACAATACCAGTTCTTTCAGATGTGTAAAAAAAAAAGATTTCTGGTTGATGTAATAAGTACTGTTCATTATTGCATTTTCTTCATTTTTTTTTATTCGCCACTTAATATGATTGAGTGATGATGTTACCTACGATTAATTAGTAAATAATTCTTTGACTGGTAGTGTTGGAATTCTAAAAATTCTTAATACAAAGGTGGAGTGTGTCTGAGATTACTATGGTTCAAAAGTTAATTAAAATTTAAGATAAGTAAAAAATATGAAAGATTGAACCATTAAATGATGAGGCCCTCCAATGCCACAAAGGCTTGACATGTTTAACAGCAGGATACATTAGCCAGATGGACATGTTTGAAGATAGCAAAGACTATTGGGTTAACAGTACGCAACTTTAAACTACTGTATTAGTTATTGTGCATTTAACCCTCTGGTACTCCTGGCATGGCTGGAAATCTCAACCCCTTACAATCTTTCAACGCAAATTGCATCGTTTACAATCTCAACACTCGCAGTCTTTCAATGCAGGTTGCGTCGGTAACAGGAACGTTTCTTCCATTTTAGTAAACATTGGTTAGAACGAACGATCCAGACACAAAAAACACCCTTAGTGATACATCTGCCATCCCATGAGGCTAGTGGGAGGAACTTAGGTGGGAGGGGTAGTACCAGCACGGGAATTGCTTAGCGACTCAATATGCGTCGAAAGACCTCCTCAAGAGGGTTAATGATTCATAATAATAACTGTGGTGCATTCCTTATAAAAAATAATTCTGAGTTTCATCCATCAAAACAAGAAGCATGTTCTATAATGATCTCCAGATAAAAGAAGTTAAAGTTATTTGGCCTATACAGTATACAAAACTTTCATTCTTTCACAAATTTATTGTGAGAATTAGGCTGTTATAACCAAAGTGAGCTGTATGCATTACAAAGGGGGGCAAGGATGCCAGAGTCTGTACACCATAATACCTGTATCTAGCAATATAAATAAATGTGACATCCAATAGTCCCATTGCACCAGGACAGTGTCATCCCCATGTACTAACCTACCATCTGACATATACAGTACAAGGATCATATGGTAACAGAACAGTATAAATTGCACAGTGAATGAAACAAAAGAGAGCACATAGCTGTTTCACCACTCACTTCATAGTGTAGGTGTTGAAAGGACTGTGTCAAGCACAAAGGCTGAAATACATTTAGTAAACAGCAATGTAAGTGAGGATTTACCTCTACATAGCTAGCAAATACGGTAACAGGTACTAAATGAGAGCTGGAAATTGAGAGAATTGAAGCATGAAGTCTCATTTGTTGCTAATAGGAGATCAATATGCATGTGAGCCTTTCCAGGGTTTTGTTTTGGTGTACCTGAAGCCTTGCTGGTTCTTAAAATAACCCCTGAGTTGGGATATCAAGTTATTGAGCTGCTTTGTAGACTTGCTTTGTACATATGAATGATACATCTTCCTGCTAAACATATCATGGATTACATGATAAAGACAGGATCTGCCAGGGGTGTTTTAATGGTATGGATCTCAGGAAGAAATTTTTTGTTATGTTATTACTGTGCTTCAATAACGAAGGTCTTTAAGCATATAACAAGGTTAATAATACACTAGTTCAACAACAGTTTATAAGAGATAAATATCTCTGTATATAAATTTTTAAAAGTGAAAATACAAATATACATAGATATTCAAAAGGCTCTCTTGATCATTTATTGGAAGAAGATTTTGCTATAAATTATAAAGGTTGAGCAAGATTAGGTAACAATTAATTTGTATTAAGGATGAAAAGGTAATGATAACAGCATGACACTATGGGACATATACCCTGATTACTATGTTTAGCGACATCATAACCTCGCCATGGAATAATCAACAGTACAACTTTCTAAGTGACTCGCTTTTTAAATATGAAGAACATTGTAAAAGAAATATTTGAATCCCTATATAATTATCATAATCTAAATTGTTTCAGAGAGTCATCTCCATTTAATGTCAGTAACTATCAAGCTACGTCACCTACATCTGCATCACCGTCTATGCTGGCTCAAGGCTTATCCTCAAGTTCAGGAATCACACCAGAAGAATATGTTGGAATGGTTTCTGATGTCCTCAGTTTAGGCAAGAATGTGTGCCTTTGTCGTCACTTCCATCAGATGGATAAAGCTGCTATTTTGAGGTATGTGCTGTATTCTATCTTGATGAAAGTGAAATGAATTGTGATTACAATGTAACTTTTATTTTCATATGTACAGAAGAACCAACTTAATTCACAACTCCATAGTACTGGACTTAATTTGTTATATTTAAGCGATTATCCGAAATTCCTAACCTCAAAGTTTGCATAAGTTGAATTCCCATAAATCAAACGTCAGTTTAAATGTAAAAACTAAAGGTGTTCCACAACCTACTGTGTATAAGGCCTTAAGTTCACTGGTGGCTTGTCTATTTGGGTTGTGGAGCTGCAGCCCCCGACACTGTTACTGGCTCAAACTGAAAAAAAGTTGTGCCAACTCATATCTACAAATTAAAATATTTTATGTTGCTCACTAAACAAATCAGTTATATTGTCAATTTAAAAGATGAAAACACGGCAACACTTAACTTCAAACTTTATAGGGTATAAAGATTACCATTTAAGTAGCATCCTGCAGCTGCATTTCTTTCATCACATTGCTACCAGACGTGTATATATATGGTATCCTACCTCAATTGATTGCTGAACATTGATATTGGGTTTGTGCATTTTTTTCTATTCTCCTAATGTTTTATATTTCAATGATTAAAAAGTTTAATGGAAAAGTTTTAAGTAACTTTCTTTCACCAAAGAGTTGTCACATGGATTTTATACCCAAATGATCATGTGTACAAATAATCTATGCTATTACATATTGTAAAGCAGAGGTAAATAAACCTTATCAGTTATAATTTCCTGGTTGCTGGTATGAATTACTTGTAGCCCCTCTAATATAGGTTGTCACGAGCTCATCACTAAGCATATTTAATGTTTTCTCACTCTTATCTCCTGCTTTTTTTTATTAGGCAAAGTATACAGTACAGTATATATTATATAAATTATTTCGGGTCAATGCAAACTTACCAGAAAATATAAGTAAACATGAATCTATTCACAATTGATAACCCAAGTATAGTACTGGTATTTGTCTTAGACACCTAGTGTACAGCCACACTGGATATTATGTAAGGTTAACACACACACACACACACACACACACACACACACACACACACACACACACACACACACACACACACACACACATCGCAGTAGTTAACCCCCACTTAACGCGGTCAATTGAACCCAGAGGGTCCCGCGTTAAGTGAAAACCGCGTTAAGTGAATAACAGAACATATGGGATTAATTCCAATAGAACCCAGCCCGACCCCCAAACTCCACTTTTTGACGACAAATAACTATGTTGTAGTAAAAATAACATCTTAATTTTATGATGGTACATGCACACAATTAATACTTAAGAGAAATAGAGAAATACAGTCGCCAAGTTAATGTCCATTCAAATAATGGACTCAACTCCCTCCCCCTCTTCTCACACTACACTCACTGGCTCTTCCCTCTGAGAAATTTTTGGGGGAAAACCAGGTATAGTAATAAATAATTCCTCAAACTAAAGTTAGGATAATATAATTGACATTGCTGGATTCCTTGTAAGACCAGGAATATTTTGAATATAAATGTCATATATTTTTCACAAAAGATAACATAATTACCTAGAGAACAATTTTTATCTAAAAATTGTATGTTTAATGCAAAATATATGTTGTTTATATTCAAAATGATCACCAAATTATAAGAATTCCAGCAATGTAAATTATATTCTGACCGGGTAATTTGTATGAATTTTATGAGCTAAAACAAATATCTTCAGTTAATAAAAAAAAAAATAATTCTTCACGGGTAACAGATGGTCGGTCGGTCGGTCGGTCCCTCCCTCCCCCCCACCCCCCACCCCCCACCAACCGTCCCAAGGAGATGTGTGGGATAACCACTAAATTTTAATAAATAATACCTCAAACTAAAGTTAGGATAATATAATTGACATTGCTGGATTCCTTGTAAGACCAGGAATATTTTGAATATAAATGTCATATATTTTGGACAAAAGATAACATAATTACCTAGAGAACAATTTTTATCTAAAAATTGTATGTTTAATGCAAAATATATGTTGTTTATATTCAAAATGATCACCAAATTATAAGAATTCCAGCAATGTAAATTATATTCTGGCTGGGTAATTTGTATGAATTTTATGAGCTAAAACAGGCAGTCAGGCAGGGTGGCGGGTGGGGGGTGGTGCGAATCTAAAAATAGCTCTCGAGCCGGACACTCACCGCGTATATGATGAAAAATGCCGCGTTAAGTGAAAGTTCAGCTTTGGCAAGGCACCGCGTATATGCGAAAACGCGTTAAGTGAAAGCGCGTTAAGCGGGGTAATACTGTACTATTATTCCCTCTAATACATTTTATTAAAAAATATTGTACAGTACTATACATTATTTTTCAAATTAATATTTTCAGTAAATATTCACCAGATATTTAGAAGATACTGTATTTAAATATTAGTCTTATGGAATATTTTGCCAAGTTACTGATCCGTGGGAGGGGGTTGGACTTGTGGGTGGCAGGCTGTGTGGGGTTTAATGTGTGTCAAACTTAAGATGGTTCTTATGAGACAACTTGTGCTGTCTCTTATATAAGTGTGGGTTTGTCATAAATAATTCCACACATAAAGGCAGAATTATGGTTAATAGGGTGTAATACATCTGTGGTCATAGGAAAAAATGTCCACTCCTCTTTTTCACTAATGTTCTTGAGTTTTGGGCTAGAATGAAAGATTTTCAAATAATTATATTCCCTGATTTTTTTTCAAAACTATTCTGATATTTTATGCAATTCTGCTACAAAGCATAAACCTATGATGAATTATATTTTTTCTATAAATTAAGGAAAGTTATGCAACATCTGAAATATAAATTTGATATACCTGTAGTACATTACTGTACAGTACTGTAATAAGTTTTAACTGGAGTTTTGAAACATGGGGCCAGATGAAATTCCCAGCCCAGGGCCTCATTAATGCTCAATCCAAAATAATGGTTTTGTTCTGAATCATAGGTTAAAATTACAAATACCGTACAGTACTGTATGTGATATTTATAAAATTATTCCCTTAATTAACTGTGTCTCAGCAAACTTAACATCGATGAATTGTAAAACACATCTTTTTGGTGGACTATAGCTTATGTCTCATCAAGAGAGGCAGCCTCATACAAATCCAGCTGATGACTCCTTGCATTAGGTGTATACAGGCAATGGAACATTTCAATACTGTACTGCTGTTAGAACCAGGCTTTTTTTTTTTCTTTTTAAGGTGACTGTTTTCTGGGACTCCTGGATAAATGATTTATTTGATTTACAGAAAGGATAGCCGACAAAAGTTTTTCATTGATGTTTGGCCAGTAGATTTCTTCAACCCCGATGATTCCAACATATTTGGCACCACCTCTCTCTTTTTGATGCAGCTGGCAACAATTTTGAACATGGCAAGTTTATTAAGTTTATTCTTTTTTTCTTGTATGTAGTGATTATAAAGTTAGAACACCTCTTAATTAATCTAATATCATTCCTTAGGAAAAACTAACACTGCCATCACTCACCACCAACACTCACCATCGCCACCAACACTCACCATCATCACCATCACTCACCATCACCACCAACACTCACCATTGCCACCAACACTCACCATCATCACCATCACTCACCATCATCACCATCACTCACCAACACTTACCCCTATTTCTTGTAACACCTACTATATTTCCAGTACCTGATTTTATTGTACCATCAAAACCATTTTATTGGAAATTATCATGTAAATAGATAAGAAATTACCATTGCAATAAACATACTTGCCAACTAGACATAATTCTGACAGCTCTGTCATCTTGTTCAACCATTGTACTGTACAACCCATGTTGTACTGCTCCCCCATTATACTTATGTTTTCAATTCCACTGTAATTTATGTACTGTATATATTTATAATATAAATAAAAAATAAACTAAAAAAGAATAATACTAGATAAATAAAATAAATAAATATTGAAATGATAACCGTGGTAACATTATGAGATGTTCTTATTACCACCATGCTATTGTACTATTTCAGATGTTACTAAATGTTACATAATACTTCCTTGAGATAAATGTATAGTATACTGTAGATCAGGTGCCTAAAAGAGAGTTTAGGTTCTCATCTGGCTCAGCCATGTTAATATTGTTATTATTATCCACTCTGTATCTGTGTTTTTTTGGCTAAATAAACTGATTCAATTCAAAATTCACTTCAATTCAACACTCACCATCACCACCAACACTCACCACTAACACTCGTCACCACCAACACTCACCACCAACACTCACCATATCAATTTACCATACTTTATGAAGCCATTTTGTATTATCAGCCTATCACTTTGCCAGCTGTTGTAAAGTTGACCCTTAAAACCCAAAATACTTCAATGTTTTATTTACAGGTGTCATCCTGGCGGAAAAGAACTATGCTACGAGTTTTCCTGTGTGTGTCATCTGGAGATGCAGACCCTGAAGCTCAAAGCAAGCAGGTGAAACACATGTTACATGAGCTTCGTATCAATGCAACCATTGTCCCAGTACCATGGGACCATATTACTTCTCATATTCAACAGGTATGTGATTATGTCAGTACAGTATGTAATCATTTGTTCTTAGAGATAGTCTCAATTCATTAAGGTCTTTCTTATTAGAAACACGTGATTTTAGATACCATTTACTTCTTTCCAGGAGTGTACATTGACAAATAGTCTCCCATAAAGTGAGTCTCAACATTAATAATGGAATATAGGTCCTCATGTTAAGACAATTTAGAAAGTCTCAGTTTTATTTCTTACATTACTGTTTGCATATGTTCAATTTGATTTCAGAGAGTAAGTAACAATTTTGTGAACTTTTTGTTGATCTCACATCCGGTTTCGAACCCACGGCCTACGACTGTGACCGGGGAACGCTACCTCTAGACCACCAGGATACTAAAAGCAGTCCTAGACTCTGTTATATTTCACACAAAGCCTGTTCAACGAGCTTATGGCGCCATGAACCTCTAATGGGGACTACCCGTATCACTTAAGTGGTCAGAGTAACGTTTTACCAAATCCGGCTTCAAAACACCCCTGGCAGGGTGAGGTGTTGATTATATGTAGAAGTCTGCGTGCTTTATTGGGCTAATGAAATATATATGGATCCTTGTGTTTCGAAGCCAGATTTGGTAAAACGTTACTCTGACCACCTAAGTGATACGGGTAGTCCCCATTAGAGGTTCACGGCGCCATAAGCTCGTTGAACAGGCTTTGTGTGAAATATAACAGAGTCTAGGACTGCTTTTAGTATCCTGGTGGTCTAGAGGTAGCGTTCCCCGGTCACAGTCGTGGGTCGTGGGTTCGAATCCTGGCGGGGTGAGGTGTTGATTTTATATATATATATATATATATATATATATATATATATATATATATATATATATATATATATATATATATATATATATATATATATATATATATATATATATATATATATATATATATATATATATATATATATATATATATATATATATATATATATAAAGTTAAGATTAGATAGGTTCTTGGTAACCACAGCAGAATAATACTCAGTACTGTAGTCCCCTCTGTAAATATTGTATGGTGATACAACTTACCTTGCTCCTTCCCCTGTGATGTCACAGTAACTTGTTCATATCACTAGATTTACCCCTGAAAAGTGGCTTTAGCTGTACACTGTAACATTAAAACTTAAATTGTAGGCAAATAAACAGCAATAATGAAAGCATAAACAGAGTAAAAAAAATTATGCAAGTTAGTGCTCACACTGCATCAAAGTCCAGGAATGCTGACAACATTAACGCTCACCTTAGCAATGCAGTTAAGCTGAGATGCTGTGTCCTTAGTAATGGTGCTATGCACCGTGGATCCCCGCCCTCTCAACACACAGCTTCACAGGGGAAACCCATAGATACATAAATTTTATACCTTATTAGTATATGTATATTTTATGTTCACATTCTGTATATAGGATTGTATCTGCATGCAACTGAATAAAAAAAATGAAGAAAACTACATGTATCTTCCTGAAACTATGAGTTGGAAAATAACCATAACATAACATTTAGCTCTTTGGTGTGGAATGGTTGGAAATTTGTCCCCTCAGCCTAGTAAGTAAGCCCAGGATAAATAAGCATGCATGTAACAAGTCTGGTGATGAGTAGGAAAATGCATAATGTTTGAATTTGGTTATTTATAGCTCAAATTTTTCAATAATTTTCAGCTAGTCTGTTATGCTAAGAATTTTGGCGCAAATTCATGTAGGTTCGAATTAGGTTGATATACAGTACTGTAAATCGAATTTAGGCAAGTGATTCAAGATACAGTAGAGATTAACTGTTCAAGCTTGAAATTAATTTGAAATAGGCAAAATTCATAATAGCCAAGTTCGAAATAACGAGTTTCTACTGAAGTTATATAATAGATTTAGTAATATTTATATTTTCTTTTCATTTATATATATAGAACTTGAGTGATTCCCAGTCTGAAGCAGAGGCAGATGCAGACTCCCTCTCACACCTGAATGATGAATACATCAATGGTGTCAATGGACTCATCTCGGGACAAAGTGTAGACACTGCTGTGACCTTCCTCTACCTCCCTCGTACCCCACAAAATCCAGCTCAATATCCTCGATACCTGGAGTTACTGACAAACATTACCAATGGTTTGAGACCCACAGTCATGGTGCATGGAATCTCTGCTGTCACTACCACAACTCTGTAGCTCCATCCAAATAGAAAAATTGGAGAAGAGTTTGAGCAAATGATATGAAAGCACAGTACAGTATACACTTGAACATATTTGTGATGAATAATGATAGGTGTATACCTGGGCACTTGAGAGTATGACCTCATGTCATAGCCAATTTATACCAAATATCTTTTATCTGTACAGTAAATGCTGTTCTTGTTCTCACCAAAGGTTTTAATCAGTAAACAAGCAATCAAATACTATGTAGTCATGGACTTCAAAGATTGTACTAAGTTGAGTGCTTGGAATATGTGATCTTGCCAGTATGAGGTAGACATCCATAATGGGAATTAGTTATGGAAAAGGATTTGGCTGTAACACCCTCGTTTTTAATATAATTACAGTTTTATGATAAGGTTATTGTTTTAGATCAGCAGCATTCTAAATTTATATACATTATCAATCTTTTGTTTGTGTGCAGTGACATAACAACAGTGCACCTATTTCTAAAAGCACAGAACAGAAATATTGATTAGAAAACACACTGATTTAGAATAATGTATTTCTTATAAGAAAAAATAATTTAGCCATAGTAAACGTCCTACAGTTTATCAAGAGCAAGTCGCGAGACATTACTTGGTTAATAACTCTTGATCCATAATAATGGAGTACAAAACCACAATGAAAATATTTTTTATCTGGACTATCGGAAGTTTTAGTCCCAAGAAATTTATAGGAGTGATTATACTATGGTTTTATTCTAGTGAGACCGACATTGTTCTTGATTAGGTACTCCACATGCATTTTTTAAATTATTATTGCTTTCTCATTTACAGGTATATGTACCTTAGTCAGATGTTTACATGTAAGCTTCAAGAATATATGATTACCTGATAGTGTTGCACAATTTTTATGATACATAAGGGGATGACCCTCATACCACTTAGGCTGCATTTACACCAAATGAGTCAAGTCAAGACGAGTCATGACTCGTCTCTACTTGCCATTGCAGTTCACATTAATTTATATGTATTTTTCTAGAAATCGTTTGCACCGGGAGAGTCGAGTCGAGTCATGTATGAGACTAGACCCATTTTTTCTTCAGTCACCACGCGTTTGTTGTGGTGTGAACAGCATGGTCCTGTCATGCCCACCAACTTCTTGAAGTTTTCAGTTGTCATCCTCAAGAAATAGTAGAATTTGTCTGGATGGTTCACCAATTCTGGGAATAAATGACTAAAGGCACCAAAATCTGGTCTTTTGGTGTTAATTTCATGTATCACAATCTGATCCTCCTCCCCCTACGCCGCCAAACCCACAATAGAGCATATAGTTCAGCGCGAGAATATGTGTCCATACTGCTCGAAATCAGGCTGGGTACTGACAATTTAGTGACAAACCTGGCTCGTTTTAACTCTTTCGGTGTGAACGGGAATGAGTCAAATGACTCTAATGAATCGACTAGACTCGTTTGGTGTAATTGCAGCCTTACTAACATGAAGTATTATGTTAGTGCACAACATTTTCTATTCCATTACAGTAGTAAATCTATTCACCTATTTATGGGATGACATTATTTTACCTAATAATTTAGGACAGTGTTATACTGTACTATGGTTAATTTATTATTGTTAAATATGTTATGATTTTATTATTATATGCTAATATTCTTCAGAGAATATCTGTGAATTTTTTTTACTAGACTTCAAGTTTTGCCTATGCATCACTGAGATAGAATATACAAAACTAAGAATTCCTAATAACCTAAAGTAGCCAAATTGTAGCCAATATCTTTTTTGTCTTGCCATGTCATCATGAAGATTTAGTGACACGTACAATAGAAGCACACATCATTGTACAACTCAATTCAAGAGGCTATTTAGAGGTTGTGAGGGTGACCCTGTCACTTATTTTGGAGACAACACTTGGACTGACATCATGTATTTTTTTAGAAATACAGTGTCACACTTTTTAAGAAAAGGTGATAAAAGAAATTTGATCCCAGCAATCTTTTAATTGGAATTTTTGTTGATTTCAGATGTTTTCCATCTTTTAGATGGTACTGTAAACTTATTTTTAAAATTATTTTGCCACTTTGTATTATGTGCCATTAGCAGGTCAGTAAGTTATGTTATAAAATACACAGTATATATATTCAGAAATTAATTTGGTTACTCTCATACTTTTGCTTGAATATCAAAGTTTAATTGTGTTTATTTTGCCTTTTGTTAAATTCGGCAAAAATTACTAGATTTTTACTATCTTTGAATTGGTATTAACCAAAGAAATAATTATGCATTATTATTAAGGCAGTTATAAATCATCAGTGATATAATTTCTTCCATTATTATTACAGTTTTAATTGTTGCTGTTTATATTAAGAAATATGGTCTCATGTAAAGAGCTTAACATATTGATATAATAGAGGATCTATTTATTATAATACTGTACATGGACATATATATTATATATGTGTGTGTCATCACTATTGTATATTCAATGGACTTTTTCAGGTTCTGTGTAGCTATGTAATACTCACCTTATTCCCAGGTGAATGAAATGAAACCGGTACATCAAGGCTCACATGACACTACACTGATACATACTACAGTCTCCTTAACCCTCAATTTATGCTAAGATAAAAAGTGAATGTGCCTCCATATACAGTAATTTTATTATCTGATAACCATTCACTTGTGCATTACTAAGTTGAGTTTTCTGTGAGACTGTCTTCACATACACAACCTTCATCCACATTTCTTACTCGTACTTCATTTGTTCACAAAATATTTATTGATGCTGTGAGTGTTTGTTTTGTACACAGCATTCTTCTGGACTAATCATTTATTTATTAAAGCTGTGTTTTCCAAGCATTAAGTAGCACCACCACCCAAACTCAGCTAAGTTTCTGTTGTGACCTGCCTCCTTCACATTATTATAATTTTTGTAAGTGGTAACAGCATAATTAACATTTTCTGTACATGTTTTGAATATGTTTGTAGTATTAACAAAGAAACAAAACTATTTTTTATTTAAAAAAATGTGAAAGTAAGCACCTACTTTTTTTAGTGTGATGCGTGAGCTTACTTTTCAGCTGTTATTTTTCTGTGTGCTTGAGGACAGTACTGTATTTTGTTTTCATGGCAACAACAATAACAAAATCCAGTTTCTCAAAAGTATGATGTCACAAAAGGTAAAAGAATGTTCTTGGCTTTGTCTGACAAGATGCGATACTTTGTACTCCTTTTTGACATAAAGCCAAAACCTGGAGATTTTCCTAATCAAATGCCTGTTACAGTATAACACTCCATCAGTTGATAGGTCTGTGAGATGTTCATATTCAAAAGTTATTAACAAATAGACTTCTAATCTATTCATGTTTTTAAAAATATATTCCCATGAAATTAATTGAAAACTACTTCTGTAAAGTGTTCAGCTGTTTGATAAATCATTCACTGTTGTCTTCCATTTCATTGCTATAAAGATATCTTTCTGATGAAGGGAACATGTCAAAAACATTATTTTATAAAAAAAAAAATTCCATAATTGTTGCTGACAAAAAATACTTTTACTTGTCATGTTTGAAAAACTTGCATTTGCCTATTCAAATTGCTCAGTTTTCTAAAACATCTACCAAACTATTTTTAGGCTCCAGTTTAAAGGCCTGTGCCCCCTCAGCCATCAGTATGGTATGTGCCCCACAATTTGGAAAACACTACATATGATGGCTCTCAGCTATTTTACACTTACAACAGGTAAGTTATGCTCTTTAGAAATGTACTATATGTGGCATAGACCTTAGACCAATTGATGTCAATTTAGTCTTATATTTGCACAAGTAGATATTACAGTCATTCTCTAGTAAGTATCATTAAGGCATCCAGAAATTACAACAGCAAATATGATTTTTATTACAATATAAAAGGCCATAAAGTATCCATAACTGACTATAATTACTTGGAGGCATCAGCAGACAGTGAAAATTGTACTTTTGAAAATATTAATGCTGTTAAAGTAATCTGAATACAGTAATTGAGTTGAGGCCAAAAATAATCCAAAAATTTTATGTCAGAACACTCAGTGTTTGGCAGTCTTGGAGAGTTATTACTTCAAGCTCAGGAGGAAAAAGCTTTTTGAACTCTGGCGAAAAGTCAACAAAGCATATTTCAAATTTGGTTACTATTTGTATCATCTCAAGGCAAAGTTGACCTTCCTCACTTGTAGACTGATCTTGGAAAATAAAGATTATATATATAGTATAAATGCTGATCTATCAATACAGTGTAAAATTACCATTTAATTCTTTGGACTGTTAGTCCATTCTTTTATATGAGTTTGTAAGAACCCCCACTGCAAATTAATGTCAAATGCAAACCCTTGAGTGGTAGAATTTGAAAATGCTGTACAAATTAAAGAATCTAAACTTTTGTGTAACCTCAGAGAAAAAAGGGAGAGAGTGGCCAGCTTTTTGCAAATATTGCATAAATACATGTACCCTGCTTTACTTCAGTTCAAATTTGTATCTGGTGGGTTGAAGCTAAGAACATTACAGTATCTTTAAATTCTGTTCATGCTATGTTATGGTCAATTAATTCAACCTAAGTCATGCCCAGATTTATTTATTTATTTATTTATTTATGTATTTATTTTTTTTTTTACACAACCCCAAAGAACCCCAAAAATCATGTGGGAACAGTGAAAATCACACCTGTAGGTTCCTTACCTGGTTTAAAGGTCCAAAACACTCAGGCATTGCCTTGCATGCAGTGTCATTCAGAGGTGCCAGCATGTTGCTACCATTTACTCTTCCTTATATTATTTACTTGTCAATGTAACTATATAATTTGTTCTATATACATACACTATGTACATTGGAGGCACAAAGTTGCATGTCAGATTGCATCCTGAAAATTTTCACTGGGATGACATGAATTACGTCAATGACCATTATGAGGTTAAGTACTGATAAATCTAATTGATGACCCCTACAGTAGTAAAGATTTATCAGAACCCTTTAAATAAAATCAGAATATTGTACAGTACAAGAGTTTTGTTTACAATAAGTTGAAGCCTAAGAATTCACAAGACTGATATTTATATTATAAGTTTATATACCCTGTATAACATCCCCAACTCCTTTTCCTGTTTCAAATTGTGAAATGAATGATATTACACAACTTGTTGACCCCTCATACCCTTATTTTGAACAGGCAGTTCATAGTACAGTAGAATAAAAAGCTAAGACAATCTATGTGAAAATGTATCATTGTTTTTCTTAATATGGGCAGTACAGTCATATAAGAAAAATTATTTTTCTTAAATTCAGTGCAAAAGCTTGTCAGGATGAAAGTTTTATAACCGAAGCTATGGTGAATTTACCCTTTCTTAATTGAAGGTTTAGTGGCATATGTATATTAAATTTGTGGTACAGTATCTCAAAAACATATCTGCAATGATGGGTCCGAAATGCTACTTGCAGCTCATGATACTCGGCTGTGTGGCATGCTGATCCTACATATTACCTTATTTATGTTAAACTATATACTGTACCAAATTAAATGCTTGTTCCAATATCTATCGTCCATGGTCTCATAATGTTTCACACAGTATGTGGACAGATACTTTTTTGAGATACCAGTACTGTACATGAAAAATGTTGAAATATGGTTGCTTAGGTTTCATGACTATGAAATGGATTCATTATTAATATAGTAATAACTCTGTTAGCCGGAATCCCTCTTAACTGGAACTCTCTGATAGCTGGAATTGAAATTTTCATAGAAAATCGTTCCCAAAGCCAGAATTTTCCGGAAAATTCCATCTTTGGGAAAAATTGTACGAGGGGCATATTTTCTGGAAAATTCTGATAAAATTTTCCAAGTACCTAGATAATTTTAGGGATAGGGAGTTTTTTCTTGGGTTTGAGAGATAAAAATCGGGCGTGTTTTCCAGAAATTCTGAGATAATATTTCCGGTACACGGAAAATTCCAGGGATGGGGGATATTTTTGTGGGTTCAAGAGACGATGTTATGTGCAATTTTGGGAACTTTCGAGAAAATGTTTCCGTTACCCAGAAAATTCCGGAGACGAGGGATTTTTTCCGGTTTTGAGAGAGTCGTCTCCTTACCTGGAAATCTTTCATTCCTGGAAGTGCTCTGCACCAATTGTTCTGGCAACCAAAGATATCACTTTAAGTAGGTTTTCCAATGTTTGTATTTCTAGCCTACAAAGTGAGATGTAATATTCCCATATACAAGTATTTTATTTGTAAAGGTGTTCATCTATCCATCCATGATGAACATGATTTTTGTGTCCCATTGCATATACTGTGGACATACTGCTTTGCACCCATCTGTCTCTACTTCTATCCCAATCAAGTTTGTTTGCAGGATTACATGAAAAATTATTCAACTTTTAGAATTGATTTAGGTTTCTCGATATGCAATGATGCATTCTTGAATAACATAATGATGTTTTCAAATTGCTAGATTCGATTTCCTAAACACAGTTCTAGTTTATTGGTCCTGATCACATGTGCAGCAGGATTCAGCCAAAAGCATTCAGTGTAGAGCAATTATACTCTTGTGTGTGTGCGTGCGCTCTAGTACAGTACAGTATAGGCAATGACCGTTATAGGATAAATCTTTATAGTGTACACTCGATTAGTTTTATGATGGTTGCCACTGCTATGAAAAAGTGATGTGGAATAACTCACAATATTCTGAGATATGATGACACAATCTTGGAATGGAATAACACATGCGACCCAAGTGTGATGCGTGGGAGGTTCTGTCCGTCCCGTGACTGCCAGGCTAAGCAGTTGAACTGTGTCACATCGCCCAGAGAATGGTTTGCGTGTGGAAGAAACTGTTATGTGTACATAAATTAATACACTATACCTGTATACAGTTCTGTACCAGAAAAATGTGAGGAATAAATATTAATATTAATAATAATAATTAAAATAAAACAAAAAATACTGCACTCTCATATTAGCAATCTTGTAACTATGCACAGGACAGCAGAGCCATAGGGGAATACCACTCCCTCCCTCCCATTTTTGTTTTAGCCCTCACACATAATAGATGTTTAGTCCCTTTATGTTTTAGACCTTATTTTGATTATTATTTACTTATTTTGCACATTATTTATGAACGTTTGTGTGTGCGTGTACTTGAGTAAAAATAATAATAATAAAATTACGATATCTACCTGAAAATACAGGTTGAAAAATAATAACGCAGTGAGCAGATTGGCTGGAGGCAGAGATATCGACATTGCATACCCTCCCGGGGACTTAAGAAATTTTTATTCCTTATGTTTTTTAGCTTATGATAATTTTTTCACATTCTGTATGAATGATTGTGTGTGCATGTAACAAAGTTAAAAAAAAATGAAGAAAAATGCAGAATTCAACTCAAAATTACTTGTACTGAAAGCTGGGGGGTCACAACTTACCACTGTACACATACATATCATGTAAGGTAAATGAAAATAAATTTTTATTTTCCTTAAATTTATTGTTTTTGTCTTTATTTTGTCTTTTATAAATTTATTGTTTTTTGTCTTTTATAAATTTATTGATTTTGTCTATTTATACTTGAGTTATTTAGACATTATTTAATCATTGTAGCATTGGGATATAAAACTGGTTTGGGCTATTCTGGGACTCAGGAATGGAACTTATTTTTCCCCTTAAGTTTTTAATATCAATATACAATCGATCACTTATATCAATGGCTTTTTGAGGTCTATAACCCCATCGTATAACGGCCATTGCCTAGACTGTATATATAATTTTTTTTCCAAAGCGTGATTTAGACAACTAAATACAGTACTACTTTTTGCACCAGGATTACCTCATGTAAACTGGATTCCAGCTGTTCTGCACATAAAAACAGATATTTAGTGGCAGAACACAACATCTGATTAGCTCATAAACAATGAAGTGATAAAACTGTGTTACTTTTACTTCAGTGCTTTAAGCATGTAACTACCTGTAGATGTAAGTACAGTAGACATGTGATTGCCTGAAAATTATAATTTGGGGATAATTCACTATGGACGGGACAAAGAATATAGGACGTGCAGGTCATGGGAACACTGCGTGCAGCTGGATGGGAAATTTAAAAAACTGACTCGCATGGTTAAATGTGGGTGATAAATGGTTATACAGTATTGTATTGTAGAATCAGTTGTGATTAGAAAAAAGTTAAAGTAAAGCAGAGATAACCAAAAGTTGGATAACTGAGAGCCTACTTTACTAACAACTGAAAGAAGAGTTATAAACAATACAAAAATGTTGCTTGAGTTTTCATATAAGACACCATATGGCATCATAAAGTTATATTTACAGATATACAGTAGTCTTATAAACTGAACAGACTGCCCATATGTCAACATGAAAGCAAGCATTTTACCTACAGTATACTACTGTGTAAATTAATTGCACCAATATAAAAGTCATAGATTTAAATATACTGTACAGTACAGTACGTATATGCATTTAGTTTCTTGTCATATAAATTGACACCAAAATATATTTTTGTTTCCATCAAAATACCAGGTTTATTTTTTGCTTTGTGATCCATGTTTGTTTTGACTGCAATTCATCTTCCATTGGTTAATAATTAGCCAAACATCCTTCATTTGCATGTGAATACCTGTTATATCTCTTCAGAAAAGACAAGGGGGAACCAGCTTATACCTTATGAGCAGCAACAGGATTATGTAATGGCATATTCAGATTTACTTGCATCCAAGCACCAGTATTGAAAATTACATTCTTAATATTTGTTCAAGCATAATCTGGGGTATTTAGACTGCATCTTTCCAAATTAGAAAATATTGATGTTTCTATGGCAATTTCAAAACTATTATTTCCTCTCATTAATTTTGGAGCTTCAGTTTATACAGTACAGTACTTATTTATAGTTGTGTGATAATAATTATAAATATGAATCATCAATTACAGCAAATTATTTTAATTTTGCCACATTTTTGATGGAAGTGCTTCACCACCAAGCACTTCCAATAAGATTGTTTGTACTGTACAAAGTTTTATACTGTATTAACATAATGGTTGGATACAATGTAAATATATCTAGTGTCTTTCCAGAGTACTCCATAGATTCTTATTTGTGAAATGTATAGATTGGTAATATTTCCAGGTGTGCAGTGTAAATACAGTCTCTCCTCGACTTACGATGGGGTTCCGTCCCGACTACCAGGTCGTAAGTCGAAAATGCGAAAATAATACATAGAAATTCTAAAATGAAATACGGTACAGTAAAGGTAATCAATAATGAAAAATGAATAAAGTGTTACTGTGCACTTACCTTTAATGTAGTCAGCTGAATGCACACAGGGCCTCAATAATTTTTTAATTAAACATGGAGACTACATTAATTGGATGAAGCAGAGGAGGAGACAGGGCTGGGTGGGTCATCAATTTCGCTTTCTTCAGACAGGCTAACATACTTGCTTGTTGAAGGTATTGGATCAGCTTTAAGGAGTGAAGAGGCAGCAGTGGTGGGGCGTGAGGAGACAGCAGTGGGGGACTTCTTAAAATATATGTCCAATTTAGACTGCACAGTTTGCCTTTTCTTTTCATTGTAAATCTCCCTGTAGCAAGCAAGTGCATCTTGGATCAGTCTGTCAACTTTTGCAAAACACTCAACATTTTGATCCATTTCTTCAAACATTTGCATCCTCTTATTAATAGTAGCAAATGCCTCTGCCTTGTCCTTCAAAATTGTTGATATCGTCGAGGGAGAGAAGCCAAGGTCGCGTGAAATGGTTGTTACCGTTTTCCATTTTCATATTGCATTATTATTTTCATTTTCATCTCAAAAGTAATTGACTGTCTCCTTTTCTTATCAGCACCACGAGAACTCTCACTTTTATGCTTGCCAGCCATTTTAAAGGGAATTAGAAACAAATTTTGTCAGTACACAGCGCGATCACAAACAACAACGACGGCCAAACATCAACTGAGCGGGCTACGGCGTGGATGCTGTACACCACGAGGCGGCCCAGCCCACGCTGTCGTATGGGACGGAAACGTTTCGTTACTAGAAAATACGTAATTTGAAAAATATTTTATACGACTACGGCAGTCGTATGTCCGGGTTGTCATAAGTCGAGTAGGTCATAAGTCGAGGAGTACCTGTACTCTTGTTTCAGTCCTGTGAAGGCTAAAATAGGATTTTTTTTTTAAATCCAAAATGAGGCTGTGAATGAGTGTTTCCATAAATTGAAAATTATTATATTCTGACTGTTGCCAGGTATCAAATTTGGCATCATAACTTTTATAAGAATTTCTCAGAGTATTAAGTTTTGTGTACGTATCATGTTCATAATAAATGTGCAGTTGATATATGTTTTACACAGCTTTTCACTTGATTGAAATCTTGAGATCTATAATAGAAGTGTTAATTTATTCAGTATGCAGTATAGTATACTGTACAGTAAGTGAACCCTCGAAGATCCAGACTAAAAGAGGGGGACCACCTGTCTGGAAAGGCTGATTGTCCGGATTTTCCGGTATATAATAAATTGTATAAGAAACACCAAAAATACAGTACTAATGTAGTGATAAACAAATTACCATATATAAACCATGCATTTACCTATGATAACATAATAAGAAAGATTGTATCATTGCTAGAGTGAATGAAATAATATTACCACAAACAACAATTGTCAACTCTGTTTATGTTTCCCACCTCCTCGGACACCTGTGTCCAAGCAACTGACAGGTCAAGCAGCGCCCATGGGCCTAAAATATTCTTTGCTCTGGTTTGGGAATGCTTCTTAGGGAAACTTCTTGGAGGCTTCTTAGCCCAGAACCCCCAAAAATTTTGCCCGGAACTTCCGAAATCCGGATTTCCCGGGTCCGGATCTTCAAGGGTTTACTGTATATTTATTGTATTGCATGCACTCAATATAATTACCCATTTGAAGATACCTTTCCATTGACCACATGTGATACAGCACAGTACTTGTTTTTTCTTTTATGTCAATAATTATGTACTCAAAAAATAACTGTACTGTGTTCAGTCTCCTATAAATCTTTGATATTTAGAGGAGACTGTGCAGCTTAGCAGTGCCCGGCAGTGTACAAACTACGGACCAGATAAGTGATTTTCATGCCCATGTGACTGGCATTTGCCCACTGGAAAAGGTGAATATTTTGAGAGGTAGATAAATACTTTGATGGGAATTTCTCAGATACCGTGTGACCCCACCTTCTCGTACATGATTAACCAGGGAGGTCATCAGTGTCCCAGGATTAGTGATATCTATCAGGTGCAGGTAATTTACTTCTAATTAAGCCTGCAACCCACCTATAGTCAGTTGTGAACATTTTAAAGGAACCACTAAGTTGAGAGGCTGTAAACTTGAGGTGACAAATGTTATGACTTCACATGACAAGTGTTACTGACACCAGGATATAGGGGGAGGGGGCATAGTTAGGGTAAGTGATCACAGGTGCCATCAGGTGAGGTGACAGTTGTTATGACATCACATGACAAGGGTTACTACCACTGACACCATTTAGACAGACACAAGTGATCTTTGACTTGATAAATACAATTTTAATGTTTTAAGATATTTGTATAACTTTTCTCATAAATAAATCAGGGCAAGCATATCACCTCCAAAATTTGTCTGGGTAAGCAAAAAACATATCCGGGCGAGTACGAAAAATTTCAAAATTTACTTATCCGAAACAAGTAAATGTTTAGCATGATCTGCACAGCCTGATTTATAGTTAATATTGGGTTAAGAAATTCATCACTATTACAATCACACCATGTATGATGTTCATATGCTCACATATGCTGTATATGTATATAGCAAATCAAATTTTTTCTGAAACTTTGGTTATTATGATAATTCTAGTAGATACAAATGTCCATCCTGCTCATTGTGTTCTTATAAGTAGTGTACCTGTGTGTGTGTGTGTTTGTGTGTGAATGCACACATGCATATGTCTGTGTGTGTGTGTGTGTGTACACAGTAGCTTTTATGGAGGAAATGAAATGGCTCAGATATCGAAAAAGAAAAGGGTCAGCCAGTAGAATGATCTGTGGTGAACTGAACCACAGAGTAGCTGAAACAAAGACAGAACCAAGTAAAATAAGCCAAGATAAATGTACAGGGGAAATGTTAGCCAATATTGTTATATGTGTAAGAAAGCAGGACTTTTGGATGCATGAGGAACGAACAAATTATATTTGACAGAAATGACATGCTGCAGAGCATTACGTGGAATAAATAAGATGCAGTGAAAAAGAAATACAGAAAATAAAGGAGATATGGAAGTGAAATTAGTGTCAGGGAGAGAATGGCTCAGGATCTAATAGAGATATTGACTGGCAAGTAAAATATTGGTAAACATAGTGGATATTTCAGAAAGGGATGAAAGGGAGGGGTGAAGGATGCACTAGATGCAAGTGGGATGGCCATCCAGGGAGAAGAGTTGTGCACGATAGAGGAGAGAGCATTGGG